AATGGGGAAAATAAGAATTGAAACTTTTTTGACCCCCCCTCCAGACTGAAGGCAAACTTTTTGTGCCTCCCCCTCATAAAAGTAGAAACTTCTCTGACCCCCTCCCCCCCCAGTGTGGATTGAAAAATTAACAGCAATGAAACATGTGTGCGTTGCAGGTAAAGTTAGATATTAGGACAATATGTTTAATCTAGCGCATGACGTTTTATCCTGGTGAATATGATTCAACCATATATGATTAAAAAATATATATTATGTGTTACTACTTTGCAATGCAACATTTGTCCTACCATAACCCTAACCCATGACCTGTCTTCATACAGCAAAACGATTTGAACACAGGGTTTTTTTAAGAACTTGTCTGGGGGGTGGGCATCTACAAAAAGGGACCATACTATATTGAGTGTGGAGAGATGAGATGGTTGTTGGTGACAAAAAGTTTGGTGTGGTATCGTATGAACTAGTAGGAGGTCTGGAGGTATTCTCCCCAAAAAAATTTTTGTATTTTTCCACCCCTATAACTGAAATGTGAGCATTTTCTGAAACAAATTTTTGGATATACAGCGTTACATTGTGCGTTGATAGACCGAATCTGATCAGTTAAGTGTACTTGCATGGTATGTTTATGTAAATACCATAACTGGGTCACTCAGGGGGTAGAAAGCTTGTTAAACTTAGTGGGCCCGACTCCCACGATCGCGAGGCGCTACCATGGTTGACGCCGAACAGGGAAATTTTGAAAATTTTGAGTCTCTAGATCGTTGGAAATAGAATTTTCAGAGTCTTCTTTTTTGCTATTTGTGACAGTTATGTGATTATTATTTGCACAGTTACTCTGTGCCCGTGTGTTTTTTCAATTTCTAAGACAAACTTGGTGGTCTACATTAAGTTTGTTGGTAACAAAGGTTTTGCACTGTTCTCCTGGCACCAAAGAGAAATCAGTGTATTCGCGGTCAATTTCGATAAAACAGCATCTCGCACTGCTGTTGTTTCCAGATTACATTTTGTGACTTCAAGTTCAAGCAGACTTTTTCTAGATGGCAACTTATTTACATCATAATTTAAATTATAGATGGCGTGCATGCAGTCATTGTCAGCAAGGAGTCCAACTAGAGGATATAGTTACTATACAAGCTTCTAACCCACTTTTCAATTTTTCTAGGTCATGCATGTCACATAACCTTTTCCGTTGTCGAAATATACGAGTCTCTTTTTCTCTGTCCAAGTGGTCGTTCGTTTTCTACCCTTTTTGTCCTTTTTATACGTGTCCTGAGGGGAAGATAAGATCTTCAAACAAAACCGGGCCTTTACTATCTGATTTCTTAGGGACATACCACTTCTGAAGCTCCTGGGTGCATGTTTTGCACCCATGCAGGAGCTTAAGGTATATCCTATGTCTTTGTCACCATAATTCAGGGACGTGTTGGCTAGGGACGAGCCAACGAGAACTCGTTGTGGGCCATTGCCATCATGGGCCCCTAAAATCAAAACATTGAAATTTTTTCAAGCATTGAGATTTTAATTTTCAAAACCAAGATTAAGATATTACAGTTTATATTGTAAAAATCAAAAAAGTCACGAAAATATACGGAGAATTTTCGTATGTTGGACAGTAAAGTTACGATATGCCCGGAAAAAATTTAGTTTTTTTGCATTCCAGGAAACAATTACGATATGTGCGGAAAAATTTTGGTATATCTGGAAAAAATTGGTGACGTCCCCAGCCCCGCCCCACCCCGCCCCCCGCTCGCCAGCATTTTTTTGAAAAAAATATTAATATTGAGCTGTCGTTCACTGCGCCTGGGCGCCATCAGACGTTACTCATTCGTTGTTTTTAAGACCCCAGCACGTCCTTGTCATAATTTCTTGAACGAAATTGCACATTTGATTGTCACGTTAGCTTTATCCATCCTGTATCCGTATTAGTCGTGCTTTACAACGAAATATTTAATTCCTATAGATGTCCGTCTTAAGGGCGTTATATAAAATGGTAGGGCCAATGCACTCAATCGAAATTACTCTTAGTAAGCTTACTTTACGTGTATAACTCCTGTATAACTCAGGGTTTATTTTAAGAAAAATTTAGAACTTCACATATTAAGGATGTTACAAAACATCACGTGTTTGACTGGGGGGTCAAAGGGTGTTTGACTGGGGGTCAAAGGATTTTTATCTATATTTAACGTTGTAAATTTATATTTAACGTTGTAAATTTATAGTTAACGTTGTAAATTATGATAGACTCGTAATTTGTATCTAGGTGGCAGAATAAAGGTGTGGTTGGGTGGGGCCAGACAAACTCGATTCTGGGTAGGGGAGCTACAGGTAGGGGTGTCCCCCCAAATTTTGAATTTAGAGGCTTGTAAGTCCTGGCAAAGATTTGTTTCACCCAACCACCCACAAAAACCGTTTCAAAACATGTAACTAGGAGTCATGAATACTCAATATATAATAACCTTAGGCAGCAAAGAATATTTGGTTCTCCCACTCTAATCTCTTTCGGATAGTTTCACTCACACAAATTTTACCTCCTGTTCCATTACCCTCAACACGTATGTGATTTGTGAGGAAAATATGAGGGTCTGGTGGTCCTCTCCCAGAAAACATTTAGATTTTTGATGCTCAATGACAGCATTTCTGGCATCTGGAGCATCCACAAGGAAAACGAGTAAATGAGAAAACTGTTTTGAGGTTATATTTTTGTTAATTTGGTGACTGCACATTTCAGTTTTAAGAACTGCACAAATGGGTTTAGAACAGCACATTTTGTGTAGAACTGCACGTTAAAATAAACCCTGGTATAACTTGGTTGGTTTAAACGTAAGTTCTAGTAGTCTAATTTAGATGGAAAACGTCGATCAAAGATTCACTGTTTGAAAAATATTGTTAATTAATTCTCCGTTTTTGTGGGGTGAGTGTGGGGCTGTTAAACAATGGGAAATGACCAGCCCCTAGTTTGCGCGCTCAGTTTGCCTGCGAATCGGGCCTTTCAGAACCGCAAATCGGACTGGAGCACGCGTTCGTTCTTTTGATTTGGCAATCTCGTACCCAGAGCCATCGTTGAGCGATGGCTCTGGGTACGAGATTGTTGATTTGGCAAAAGAAGCAGGACAAATCGCCGACAAATGGGTGAAATTTATGGCAAAATTCGCACAGTGCCCGGTTGCAAAAACAACTGCAAACTGCTCTAATTCTTTCTGTCACTTTCATTTGATCTTATTCGTGAATCGGCCTCAACGGAACCTCAACGGCCTTTGATTTATTCGGTTATCCGTTTATCCCACTGATATTCCAATCTCGCACCCAGAGCAATGCCCAACCTCGTTCCCAGAGCCTGGGAACGAGGTTGAGCAATGCCATCCTAGCCCGCGCACAGGCATTGCTCTGGGCACGAGATTGTGGTTTATCCGCAAGAACCGGAAATTGAAACACAGTGTTGCAAATTGTTCCCCGATTTACCGGAAGTTGGCTTACTCAGCATGCTAAACATGACAATACAAACCCTGAGCTAAAAGACACGTTCGTTAATCTTCTTGTCAGTAAATGGGCGAGAAATATAATCACAGAGAAGATATTTTACAAATCCAAGTGGCAATATGAGCGATGCCACGACCATCATGCTTCCAGATGGCAGCGAATTAGATTTATCTGATCTAACCGAAGACGAACTTCTCGAACTGTACCAAAGTTACGAAAAGCATTTAGCTAATTCTCTGACCAGTGTAGGCACGCTTGTCGGTGGTGGTTTTACTTCGACTTTAGACTCGTGTCTTGGCCCAACGACATGGCAGACCATGCAAGTGGCAGCGAAATTATTTTCATTGTGTTTAATACTTCGTGTTGTAACGCTTGTTAATATACCTACAAAAATGAAGCATTTCGTATCGTGTCTCACTGGAATTGCTACATTTGTGATTTTCTTTGGCGAACATTCTATGTTGTATCATCTACTAACACTGTGTGGCGCGGGCTATATGCTCATATTTATAGCGGCAAAGCACAAAGGTGGTGTTGTCAGTTTATTCTGTGTTGCATTCTTGTTGACATGGTAAGTGAAATACAACACTGTCAGATATTTAATTAAGTGTCATTTCATTCATCTATAGGGGGAGGTCAAAACTGGCTCATTAACCCATTAAAAAGGGCAATTGTACGTTTACTTTGAATTTTATTCTGCCTATTTAATTATTTGCAGTTGTTTTATTCATGCAGTGATGGTCCTTGTCCAATAATTGCCCTGAAAAGAGTAAAATTGTCTAGCATGAGGGTGTATTATTATTACAACTTTAACCCGTCAACACCAACAATTACTTGGTGCTAGACAGCCTGAATACCATTTACATAAAAATATAATTGCCTGTGCAAACAAAATGAAATGAACAAAGCTGGGCAGTTTTGGAACATTGCAGCTTATGTGTGAATAGGAAACATGATAAATTGTCATGAGTGTGGTTATGTACTCCAGTGAAATTATTTGAGATGATGCTACTTTGAGTTCCAAAATACCACCTACTCAAACCGATGTGACTTCATAGCTTTCTGTTGGTAGATTACGATTAGCATTTTACAATTAGCGTTTCCTACAGTGCAAATTTGCATGTGGATATAATCAAATGTGCTTTACATCAAGTATTATATATGCTTACCCAGCCTAGAGCTAGGCTATCTATTTTTATTATTTTTTTAATATTCAGCGCTTTTTCACATGAAAAGACTGGGACTAGGTGATTTGGGGGCGGGGCGGAGGATGCGCAAGCGAAAAAATAGAAGGCCTAGTGGATTTCCCAACAACAATGCCAAAACTGCCCTGAAACTGCCCTGGTTGCGAAATACCCAATTATTGCGTTCTCAAACAGAATTATTTGCAACTTAACAGCGAATTTAAACCGATACAGGTAAAATGAACTCATTTATAGTATAAACTTACTATTTTTATTTGTATACACGCCTAGAAAATCGGGTTTTTTATCATAAAGTTTGAAGCAACATTATTATTATGTTGCGAAAGGTCAAAATGAGTCAAAATATTACTACAAAATAGAACTTAGTTTAGTCATAAAATGTTTTTATAGTTAATGTAATTATAACTACTGGACAGTATAAATTGCTTTAGTTGTTGGTTTCTGATCAATTTCGGATCACAAAGTTATGGAGCTAATTTGAGAACTTGTGAAATCTACTAGGCCTTTATGAGGCAAAAATGACCATTGCGATAATTACCAGCCGAGTAAAGGCCTAGGTTTAGGCTGATGCTTACCTAATTATATAGACACATAAAGTTAGAAAATCAACAACTTGTTTCAAGTTGATATCGACAGGCGTGAACAAGGTTGTGCGGCCCACTATGAACAGTATTGTCAACATGTTGTTACAACATTGTTCAACTGTAACAACTTGGAACAACATGGTTGACAACTTATTCATAGTTGGCCGCACAACATTGTTCGCGCCTGTTGATATCAACTTGCAACAACCTGTGTATTTTTAGCTGTGTACTTAGCCTTGCCTATTTCATCTCTATAAAGTATAACAATTGTGATATTACAAGTATTGTCTTAAAATTAACTGAATTTATCCTAACCCATCCTGTCAACTGTGGGAGGAAACTGGAGCACCCGGAAAAAACCCATGACTTTCAAGTTTAAAATTCACAGTCCGAGAATCAAACTCAGAGGTGAAAGGTCACAGTTTTGATTCCCAACATGGTCAAGCAAACTTCAGATTTCCTGGTGTGAACAGACTCAGAGTAATATCATCTCAAAGAAACATGATTATTTATTATGTATCGATCAATTCGAAACTTCACCACCCCCCCCTGGGCCGACCCCGGGAATTTGAACTTTTTGAAATTTGACTGATCAAATGCTCCACCCCCTGTGCAAAAATGTCTTCAAATGCCCCACTGTAACAAGAAATTAAGCGTTCAAATGCCCCACCTTCACATGAAAATTATGAAACAGTAAATACAAAAAGTACAAAATATACGGAAATGTTTTTCGACAAGATAGCGAAATTCACGTAAAACGTTTGGATACGACCTTGTGGAAATTTAACAGTTTTACACAATTATATAGTACATACCTTCAAATGAAGCACATAGATTTTCCATGCCCGTTTCTTTGAGCCAGTTTTTCACAAAATTGAGGCCGTTTCCCTTGAATCTGAGAAAACTGTATTTGCCGCCAATGCGAAGTATTTTCTGTGCATGCAGGAAGCACGCGAAAACGGGCAAAATTTTAGGACTTACGGTTCAAATTCCCCACCCCGTTATCAAATGCCCCACAACATGGAAGACCTAGAACGTCAAATTCCCTACTCCCTGGAGAAGACTTGAAGTCAAATTCCCGGGGAATGCCCGGGGGGGGGGATGATGAAGTTTCGAATTGATCGGTACATTATTGGGCAGATAAACCAGTCAACGGCCAATACTTATCCCCTTGACAAATAAAAGTAATTCATAAAGACATACAGTGGTGTCACCATTGTGTAGGTGGTGGTGAGGGGGGGGGGGGGGACAGGTACAGTACGTACTCAGTAGCATTTTTGACCAGGCACCCCCAAAGTGGTGAAGCCTTTGAAAAATTCTTGATACAAGATTGCTTAACCCATTGAGTCACATTGCGCGCGTAATGGCAACTGGCCTATCCACCCAATATGTGTCTAGTTAACCCATTGAGTTGCATTGTGCCCTGATGTGTCCTACTTTATTATTTCACTCTGTCTTATGCCAGACGATTTTACTCGTCAAGGGGAGTGCGCTGGCGCTTAATGGGTTAACCAAGAATATAATTAAATTCTCAAGTGTCACATAATAAAAGAAAATCTACAAGTCGACACACTTGCGTGCCTACCATTTCTCACGTGGATGTTAACTGGGTGTACTTCAATAGTTTATTATTCAAAAGTTGTTTGTGGCAAGAACATAGTGTTCATCCATTGGTGTCATTTTGTGACTCACTCAGAGCAGGTTTGTAGAACAACATGCAAATGGCTATCAGGTTGGATCAAATGACAGGACCATCGATATAGAAATTGCTTGGGAATGGGAGTAACATAGTGTAATAGTCCCATTTAATACTCCCATACTCTCATAACTCATAAGGTAATTTTCTACTATTTTCTACGGTCGGCTATTGGCGATGCTTCCGCGAGGAATATGTCATCTGCTGACATATGTTTTTTATTAATACATATGAACTTCAAAATTTCCAACGTTTCTCAAAACATCTTTTTTGCATGAAATATTGACAATTTTAGCGCGTTTTTCTAATATTGACAATTTTTAGCGCGATTAAATTTGAGTGTTTTCAATGCAAGGAAGGCGTAATAATATAAATGTATAGAACAGGTATGGTATTACGAATATATGGACTGGTGTTTGTATCAAGTTGTTTTCTTTTTCATATTCTGCAAAGATGATTCCGAAATGTTATGACTGATGGCTTTCGAAAAAACTATCGAATGTTTCCATGATGTTTTGCGGAGAAACGTCACAGCTGAAAACCCTCCACCCCCAAACGAACATATGACGTTTCTCGTGGACAAAAATCGATATGTGCATGAGGCTTCCCTTACAATTTGTGTTATTAAATGTGTGGAGCTTCCTTTGCCTTTTGAGGCCCTTGGTGGAGGCAAATGGTGGAGGCCTAGCTTTCTAAAACATTTTCCGTGTTGATATACAGTTATATTTCCCAATTTCCACGAGTGTTGATATAACTGTTTGTCCCATAAATGAGCTTCAAAAACCGTTTTGATTGGTCGACAGCCTGCCGGAATGATTTGATACTCACCTGCTAGATTTGATACACACCTGCTAGATTTGATAAGGAACCTCATTGGCTAATGACAGTTAAATTTGGCTTTTTTGGTAATTTTTACCCTTCGTTAAGATAATAAAACAGTTTATATATTTTGTAAAGTCTTGTTTATGGGACAGACAAGTCTTGTTTATGCTACGCTCGGTAGACATCAAATCCATTGGATATCGATTTTCCATTGGATATCGATTTTCCATGCATTGGATATCAATTGCGGTTTACCTCAAAATCATATCGTAACTTATAATGACAATACGGAAAAATGTTTTATATTTTTTTATAATATAGCACAAAGTCTTTGTCAAAGAAATATAAAGAAAAAAATTTTCCGTGTTGGCATTGAGTTATGTCAACACGGCTCTTAGCCAATCAGCGTTCAGAATTTATAAATGCTATATTATAATATAATTTTCAACAACAAAGGAATCTGAGCCACACATTGGGTATCCGTTAAATTGACTCTCATTTTTTACCATTAATTGCTGTTTTTAAGTGAAGTGGTTGTCGTAGCTTCTGAAGATTGGAATCCAGTGAAAGGTATTAAATGGTCATTTTTGTACCGTAATCCTACACAGTCTTGTCTTTCTTGTACGTTTTTCAATTAGTACTGGTATGTATTACGAGGACACATTCGGCAATTTATTATCCATTGTTATTAAGAGGCAATACCGCGTATTTGCGATGAAAAGTGTTGAAAGTTTGCCGGGGGGAGGCAGTTGAAAGTTTGCCCGAAATTTTTATGGAGGATTGTGATGAAATTACCTGAATTTAACCTATTTTCTGATAAATCTGCCCGAATTTTCTTGATTTTTCCTAGCATTTGCCTGAAAATTAGTTGCTCCTGCCTCCCTAGGCCTGTCATGCGTATACATTCAAAGCTATAATTATATATACAACTACAAAAAGCCAAACAAAAATTTATCATCACACATTGATGAAATAACTGAACCACGATTAACGCATGCCGTCATATCATTTCATTCAATGTGTTTGGTTAAAGGAAGAGAAGTGAATTGATGAAATCCTTTTTGTCACTTATATTATAGGCACATTTATGGTGCTCAGTATGAAAATAATCTCATTTTCATTTGATGTGGAGAAAGGTGTGATTGCTGAATTTCCAGACATTTTGGCGTACAGTGGCTATGTTCTCTGTCCGTCTTCAATAATATTCGGGCCTTTCATGATGTACAAAGATTATTGTCAAATTTTACAACATCGTCCAATGGTATGTCTTCATATATGTTTTTCAATACCGACGACTTCAGTTGTGGATGGAAATGGCGCTTGCTGCCAATAAACGTACGGAATATAGCTACACTGTATAATTATTTATCACTGCATACTTGTGCCTTTATCAGGGCGACAACAGGGTGACATAAAAACGATATCGTCACTGTATATTTGTCACTGTCAAAACAAAGATGGCTGACTCAAGGTTCGTGTTTAGTCGATGTTGACAACTTTATTCGTTGGTAGGGCCATGCATCTACCTGAAAAATATATGGAGAATTTCGACGTTTCGAGCGAAGGCCCATCGTCTTATAGCGCATTTAGGCTTGCATTAGTTTTCAATGCAGTACTATAAAACAAAGCTTCCCTATTTGAAAAAATCAAACAATGCTTTGGAATATACTCATCAAATATTTCCTTATAGCTATTAATATATGACGTGACACTTGTTAACATTTTTACAATTAATTAAATTTTTTTGCAGACCCTGACGTGGTTTTTGTCACTAGTAAGATCCATTTTATTGGGATACATTTTCCTAATCCTATCATCATGTATTTGTCCATGGATTTTTCCAGAAGAAAGTAATAAGTATGTTTGCCACGTGCTTTATAAGATTGTTTCCTCATGTCGATGGGCAAGTGCTCTGATCATGTCATCAGGAAAAATACTATACTTATGCAAATTTCACGTTCCTGCTACAAATTTCATCTTCCATGTCCCCGTTTGTTTATTCAACAGATGGTTGATAGCGTACCAGACTGCAATGTCGTTTCGATGCAGTAATTATTTTATTGGTTTTCTCTCGGAGTCTTCGTGTCTGCTGTGTGGTATTGGTACGGTTGTGAAGGAGGATAAAGAGGAAAAAATAGAATGGTATAACAATGCGTTCATCGTACATCTTCGACCCATATTTTTTGTCAATATAAAGGGGCCTAATAAATGTAACTTTTGCGTGTTCTGAGACCTCCAGGAAACCTAACGGCATGAACCCTCTGGCTCGCCCTACGTGTAGATTATAATTTTTGCAAATTGTTGTAATATACTGCATATTCATATATATTTGGTCTGATGTAATGTGCATTATCTACAGTTAGGTTCATTCACTAATGTTGGTCTGCTTTCTTTGCAGGAAAGTTCCAGTTTCTCGTCCGCAGCATGTCGAATTCCCTAGATCATTTGTAGAGATAGCTATACATTGGAGTGTTCCTAACCACATCTTTCTAAAGAACTGTACGCAATAAGTACTTATCTCTTATATATCATATTGCATGCATTTGACTCTAAAAAAGTGAGCATAATTGCGATAGCTAGATATTTCTTTGCGACTAAAAGTTGCTATGTGGACTCAATGTGTTATTATTTCATTGCGATTTGTAGTCGAGGTGTAGTATAGTGTCCACTTTGCATGAAGCTCTTGAGATCAAGTAACAAAGAAATTCATATCGTAGGCTATATAATTTTGCTATTTCTATTTTGCTTGAGGCAGTTTTGCATTAATTCAGTCAGTGGGCCAGTGGCACTATAACCTATATACACCACTGTTATGTTTTTCTCTTGTAATAGGCTCGACTGCAGATGACAACGAGAAGTCACATCTTTTATAGTTATAACATAGTTTACTTACTTCATATTAACAGAATGCGAGGTCTTGTACAGAGAAATAGCGGACCGAGGTCTTTTTTGGTTGAAGAAAACAAGAAAATACCAATGTATTCCTTCTTTTCCACTAAAAACCATTCGCAGATATCTTATTAATAACAAATTAAATTATAATTTTCAAATGTTCAATTAGTTTTGCTGATTTGTTTTAAAATGCATGCGTTTGGACCGTTGAAAGTGCTTCTCAGCCAATCACAGTCCGCCATTTCACCGGAAGTGATGCTTGCAATATAATAATTGTACTTATTTCCCTTATATACCTTATTTATTTTATAGATGTTTTCAAAAAAGCGCGTGGATTAGGTCCATTTCTGTCAATGTTCGTTACATTTGCTGCTAGTTCTATTTTACATGTAAGTATTCACTAATCAACATTGCATTGGTGTCTGAAACCCTAGTATAGTCTAGTGGCAGAACAACTGAACCAGCAATATATGTATATGTATCGACTGAGATAACTGCGTTTAAATTTGAGTTAACGTTTCTGGAAATATCGAAAATTAGTAAAAAACGTACGGCCTATTAAAGGTAGGGTACAGTTCGTATGTAAACAAAGCCTTTGTTTACATTTCGGTATTCAAAATATCGAACTTTATTCGACAACTATTTGTATTTTCTTGCCTCTACAGTATAATAAATGATCAAGATATAACAATCAGGCTTTGCAATAACATAAAATGAAATAAAAACCTAATTAAAGTGTTTATATCACGGCAGGAGACTCCTATGTGCGCATGCGCAGACCGGACTGTACCCTATCTTTAAATGTTAATACCGCAATTACCTGTGCGTAAGGTACACTGCAGTCGAAATGTATTCGTTCGTAATTTTCCAGATAAAATGCTATTCATTAGGAAATGCATGTCCCCCAACAAGAATGCAATTTCTTGCCTGTGTGAGCATGCAGTCGAAGGAATTTCGGACTATCTGGGGGTCCAGGTTGCAGCATGTATACAATTGCCTAATGAAGCTCTCTCAAATTATTTGGTTGTTGATCATGTGGCACATTCCACATTTGGTGCTTCAAGCAGCCCCAAAGGAAAAAATTGCACACCGTCAGGTCAGGAGAAAGAGGGGGCCAAGGCGAATCACCCTGTTTATTCATCATGCAGTCGGTCAGGAAATTGCCCACGAAAGTATCGAATAGTTGCGTTACTGGTTGTAAAAATTAGTTTAATAGGCCGTTTTTTCTAATTTTCCATAATTTTGAAAATGTTTACTTATTTTCAAACCCAAATATCTCGGCCAAAACTGTGTTAAAATACACATGCATGGCATGCATCAAATTTTTAGTTAGACATTACTGAACTAAATGCTTCTTAAAGTGTAATAGCTCTTTTAATTTTTAAGTTATACTGAATCAAAGAGGAGTACTTTTTTGGGGGCCACCCGGTATACAGGAGGCGTCGAATATTCGTACAAAGCCAGCATGCATGCTTTAATTGTAATTCAAATAGATATCATCGTTACAACTAGTTACCTGCCTTTTTTGTTTTAAGGGTTTGAGTTTTCAAATTGCTGCTGTACTTGTATCAATAGCGACTTATGCTTATGTTGAACACGGTATGTAAATGCTTATTATACGATGAGTGAATTTGCATCGTTTTCACGAAAAGAATGAGAAAATGTTTCCATTCAGGTATCCACTTTCCGATTCTTGTCTTCTTTTTGTAGCATTTAGAAAGAAACTATCTCGTGTTTTTAGTATGTGTATTGAGGCAAGAAAATGTAAACCTGACTGCACTCACCAGTTTAAAGAGGTAAGAAATCTGTTGGAAATTTATTTATTTGCAATTGCCAACTGTTAAAAGTGAAGGAATCTATATTAAGCAGACATTGCCAACAAACCAGACAACACAATACGTACATAATATTATTAAAAGAATTCTTTATTTTTTCTGTATTTTATCGTACTACAAAAAGTGTGCCATAATTATGTCTCTTCCTCCTAAATTTTAGATATCTTGTTCGTTTTCATCAACAGCTCATTCTGTAGCTTGCTCGCAGCCGTTGTTATTCTTACGCCAAGCGACGAAAAACTAGCGTCTGCTTACCCGAGCTGCACACATTCAATTCCCTTTGTTTTAGGAGCCAATCATCTGGCAGTGTTCAAAAGTGTTAGAGCCAATTGGAAGCCGCCTTATTGAGGAATTAGCTACTGAGGAAAGCCCTTGCACGTGGGAATATATTGTTTGGGTTGAAATTTGTTTACTTGCGTGGATATATTTTGGAAACTGTAGCGTTGAACTTCACGATGTTTACGTATAGAATAATGTTGTGATCATCTTCTCGCATGTTCTGCAAACAATCGGTGTATATAAAATGCAAAAGGATGAATGCAGTAGACGAAATTTAAATTTTTGTTAACAATGACAAACAATCAATAGGGAGACTCGGGTATATCAGGATATGTCCAAATGTTGCTCTTGAGTCTTGATACTTCCTATATGCCATGACTTCGACGAAAATTTCTAAAAGATTAAACTGTTAAAAACGCATTTTCAAACATCGAACAATTAATTAGGGACTTTTAGCGAGATAATGAGCCTAATTTACAGCAATAACCATTGGAAGGATAAAAAAACTGTTTAAAAGTCTTTTATTATTTACAAGCTTTCTGATGATGCAAGTTATATTTGTCGCGATTGAATTCAAAATTTCACATTTTTTGTTAGATAACATTAACAACAATTGTCGCCTGAAGACGGACATTTAAAATGTCCGAAACGTTGCAAATTAAATTAAATTAACCTTTTGTATAAATCCTTGAGAAATAAAAATAAGTAATAAGTTATGAACAACAAAGGTGAAAGTTTTAGAAACAAAATTTAAACATTTTGTATAGAGCAATAAGATATTAATTTCGTTTTTATTAATTTTTAAAAAATTGGCCCTGCAGAATTTTTTTAAATACTGTCAAATATTGCATGTATATAGTCTATTAAACTACAATTGGATGAAATATCACGGGGCCAGTACGACTTTGTAGCTCAATCCCTTCTCAACTTTTTCGTGTTCTCATGACCTTGTGTGAGGTAAAATCACGATATTGTTATACAGGGTGTATCAAAAAAGCTGAACAGATTTGAAATTGCTCTCAATTTCGCAAAACACCTATTTGTGTCCGGTTTTTATATATATAGCTTCTTTGGGTACTTATAATGTAGAATAATGAAAAAAATTTCTCAAACTCAAATTTTGTGAACCAGGGGGGTGTCTCTTTTCCAACAAATTAAAAATTGCTCGCGCACAAAATTTAAAAGTTGTAATCATATTTTGAGTTAATAGATAGAAAAGTTGTTGGGTTTTTAATTACTGTACAAAATGTCAGACAATTTGGTTTAGTTTAAGCCCTTTAACTATTCATTTTATTCTAAAAAATCAGCCTTTCGCATGCTTAATTAACTGCCTTTACCTAATTTGCATATTGCTGACATATGCAAATTAGGCAAATGCATTAATTAAGCATGCAAATAGCTGATTTTTAGGAAAAATGTAACTTTGCGTGAATAGTTAAAGGGCTTAAACTAAACAAAATTGTCTGAAATTTTGTACAGTAATTAAAAACCCGACAAATTTTCCATCTATTAACTCAAAGTATGATTATAACTTTTAAATTTTGTGCGCGAGCCATTTTTAATTTGTTGGAAAAGACACACACCCCTGGTTCACAAAATTTGAGTTCGAGTAATTTTTTTCATTATTCTACATTATAAGTACCCAAAGAAGCTATATATATAAAAAAGGATACAAATAGGTGTTTTGCGAAATTGAGAGCAATTTTAAATCTGTTCAGTTTTTTTTTATACACCCTGTATAGTAAAGTGGTTTACTAGTAAACAATATTCCATTGCAAGTCAAATCGTTTAAATTTTAGTCTAATTACTGGGTGACTGTAATCAATCTTGCTTTCGGATTTCTCAACATATTTCATCTGGCTTACCTTGGAGTCATGTTTGATGGCAACAATTCCGGACGGGTTTGTATTTACATGCATTAAAGTATAAATTGAAAATTGCTATAATTGTTTCTATGTGTCACTATGTCAGTTTTGTATATAAGCCATCAATAGGAGACTATACTATTCATAACTTATTTTTGCCTTCAACTCTGCGGACTGTTCCATTTAATTTCGGTCCCTCGTGCAGGACAGACAAAAAACTGGTAATTTGATGGATTTGCCGACCGTCAGTTTAGCAGTCGACACCCTGTAGTGTTTTCGATTCAGAATGGGATTTTAGAAATAGCTGGCGATTTAAGCCGGGCAGACAAGCAATTTTCTATGACATGCAAGTTTTTATGTGACAAGTTTTATTTGCTCGTCTGTACGCGCAACTTTGACATTTTTTGTCAAAGTACAAATTTTGTTCGTCTGTATGGGTCAACAAAGAAAACTTGGCAAAGTAATCTGAGCATTTGATGTGATTGGCCAGCGCTCGCGTTGTCCGCTGTATTATTACATTGCTGGCCACTAATAAATTGTCAAAGTAAACTTGTTGACACATTCACACTAGTAAATAAAACTTGTCATATGAAAACGTGTCATATGAAAACTTGTCATATAAAATTTGTTGCATATACACATGTGCACTTGGCAAATAAAACTTGCCACAAAAACTTGTCATAGAAAACTTGCTCGTCTGTAACCAGATTTAGGCGCGATCTTCGCATTCAACGATGGTGCGTACCCATATATGCAGAGAATATAATTATATAATAATGGAAGCGGGTTTTTTCCCGATTTTGGACGTAAAGGGTTATAAAGAATCTAAATGGATTGGCACCACTGATCTGAAATAAGACTGGATAACGCATCTATAGTATACAACAGTGAAGCCGGAAGTCACCGGCGCCACCCGATTCTGGGGCCCTACTTTTCTATAGATTTGTATTACAGTATGGTAGTTTTTCGCGTTTTTTGCCTTGGCTACGTTTCTGACCGGGCCAGTTTTACAATCACAACGATAGAAGCATACAAGAAGAATTTTGAGCAAAAAAATTGGGGTATTATGGCTTTATAACGCCGCGAAACGGGATTTACAACTCTGAAGATTGGGGTATTATGGCTTTATAACGCCGCGAAACGGGATTTACAACTCTGAAGGAGTGGTAAGCCTCAGACTTGGTTATCAACACGAGCTCGTTTTGCTACTTTCATACAAAATCAACTCAAAATATACAAGAATTACTGTTACTGGACGAATATTCTCAGGAAATTTGAAGAAATGAAGCAGCTACATTGTGAACAAAAGCGTACTGAGGTTAGTTTTAAAATACCTTCAGGCTACTTCTATAATTATATGAATTAAGGAACAGTTTTAAATGTCAATTTTGTCAAGTGCATTCCTCGACTTGTCGAGAAGTTTTATATGTTTTAAAGTAGGAAGACAAGTGACAATTAAATATTTTTTAATCCAAATTAACAATGACTCAATATTATGTTATTTTAATTCATATATAATTATAATTAAAAAGTAGCCTCAAGGTATTTTAAAACTAACCTCTGTACGCTTTCGTTCACAATGTAGCTGCTTCATTTCTTCAAATTGCCTGAGAATATTCGTCCAGTAACAGTAATTCTTCTATATTTTGAGTTGATTTTGTATGAAAGTAGCAAAACGAGCTCGTGTTGATAAACAAAGTCTGAGGCTCTCCACTCCTTCAGAGTTGTAAATCCCGTTTCGCGCCGTTATAAAACCATGATAATACTCCAAATTTTTTGCTCAAAATTCTTCCTGTATGCTTCTATCATTGTGATTGTAAAACTGGCCCGGTCAGAAACGTAGCCAAGGCAAAAAACGCGACAAACTACCATCTTTAGCCTAATACAAATCTATACAAAAGTGGGACCCCAGAATCGGGTGGCGGCCGGTGACTGCTGGCTTCACTTTTGTGTACTATAGATGCGTTATCCAGTCTTATTTCAGATCAGTGATTGGCACAGAGATATTATTTTCTTTCTAGCGGACAATCAATATCTGCATTAGGGTATATTTTCCAGAACCTATATATGTATTTGTAGTTCAACACTGTATTATTCTTTATTTTTCTTTGAAATTATATATATATATATTGAATGATTATATAATGTTACGTTTTATACGTTCGCTGAAAATTGATAACTTTAAGATTGATTGTCGAAGCTAGTCATGTATATCTCATGCAAAAAATTATCACTTATTTACTGAGACCGAGGGAAACAGTGTGTTTTGTGGACCCGAGACCGTCGATGTTTCCCGAGGCGAAGCCGAGGGAAACATCGACGGTCGAGGGTCCGCAAAACACACTGCTTTCCCGAGGTCTCAGTAAATAAGTGTTTTATTATATATCAATAGTCAAAGAAACAACAAATTAAAGAACACATAAACGTAAATACATGAAATATTTTATTGTTAAAACGTTATATTAAACACTGGCTACACTGCAGTTACTTAAAACGAAAGTTTTAATTACGTACTAGGCATGTCTAAAGGTCGCATCTTCACGTGATGGCGCACGTGATTTTTTTTGTTATTCGCCTGTCGATAACGTATTGTCTCCCTCTCGCGCTGTTGCGAGGGAGACAGCCTAATTTCGTCACTCTCACGTGATATGCTCTCAACCAATAAAACACTAGAAAAATGCGACTTTGACTATTGATATATAATAATGCTTATAACATTCGTGTGTCTGCCATTTTTTGATATTCTGTGCTGCAGTTTATTTGAAGTTTTCAAATATTTGTTAATAAAGTCTTGCTCCAATGCGTTGATTTCTTTCCTCTTTTAGGGTTACGGTGTCGAACATACTCTCGAAAAGTGGTCAGAGTTGAATTATACAAGTCATTGGATTGTCCTGGGGATTTATCTTGTTTCTGCTGTCTTGTAGTGCATGAAAAGCTGAAACGAGCAATTCAGCACTTTTTCATGCATGATACATGCTTGACCTCATAAAATCTAAACCGGATACTAACATCAATGCTCCCAATAACAACAGGATTGTTTTTTAGTATAAGATGTTTGTATATAAGGGTTCATAACTTTTATTTACACAACGTTAACATTTGCGAAATATAAATTTCTTGCAATATCTAGCTTGAAGACACTATAATCACTGGTGGAAATTCAGTTTAGGCCCGTTTCAGACGGCGTACTCTTCATGTGCCGAACTTAATTTTATTAGATGCGACACAAGAACGGCAGTGATTCAAACGGCGTACCAAATACAATGTTATTGACAAGGTTGGGGCGCATTCGCCAGCGAAACCTCAATAAAATTCAAAATAAATAAGTTTATTTTTAGACTAAAGTTGAGTTAAGTTTGACACATGAATGGAGCGGCGTATGAATCCAATTAATGTCGCTCCAACGTCGCATAATGCGACAAGCTCTGCCGAACTTGTGTCGAACTTTTGCCGCTCCAAATTCTGCCGTACTTAATTGATTCATACGCCGCTCTTCTGCCTTACCTAATTCATCAATTAAGTTCGGCACATAAAGAGTACGCCGTCTGAAACGGGCCTTAGACGAATAAATAAAAACAGGATGTTTTATTAGAATACATGCATGCAACGACCCCTCGCCTATATTTTCCAAACATTGTTTCAACATTAAGTATTCGTAATTATGCCAACACTGAACGCAGCCTCGCGTTGTCACGTCATGTTAGTCATGGCAACACGATAATTGTTTTTTAAACTTTTTGTACAAATCTGAAAAAAATTGATGAAACTTGAACACTTTTAAATACAGAAATATCAATTTATAAAAATATAAAGTAGGTATATTATTTTGCTCAAAACGAAACTCTATGTAAAATTTTTTTAAATGTGAATTGAAATTAACTGCTTTTTACCGATATTAAGCTAGTAATAAACTCTTCAACTTATTACTCGTACTTTGAAATGAAATAACTTTAATTCGTACAGGACGCTTAGGAACATAATTTGCTTTCCTTTTTATCATGAACTTCTACAAAAGTTAATTTAACTAAGAAACTTTCGCACACAATGCATAGCGATGCATAGGAAAGACTTGAACAACAAGAACAAAGTCTATATTTAATAATACAAAGTTACACATAAACAATTGAAACAAACTTGCCCTATACTTTAGGATTTCTCATACTAAATCAATTCTTATAAATGCTTACGTTTAAAAAATGAAAAAAGTTTTAAAGTTTGTTATGTAAAACGATTTTCCAGGCTAGGCTTTCTTACATGTATTTTTTATATTTTTGCCTTCTTCACTCCTGGCAAACCTCCTTCACTCCTGGTATAACAGTACAATTTAAATGTTTTGTTTGTATAAGGGCTAAATACGGTGGGTTATATTTTTACAGGTTACGAGGTGACATAATTGCATATATAAATAGAATTATATCATATTCAGAGTAAAAAAAAAGAATAGTAATGACAGCAATTGAAGTGCTGACTTTACTGACATGATATGATTACATAAGACAAACACGCGATATAGAATACAGATTAAGTGGTGCCTGTTTTGTGTTAAAAAAGAAAGCGGTCACGCCCTGTCATGCAACATTTCGCCAACGTTCTTCATGTGTGATGCACTTGTGCTTTCAACATTGAGCAACCAATCTTCGTATATTCATTCCACTTCTAATGTTTTTGCCAAGTTTCATTGCACTTCAAAATTACCAAAATTGTTGTCACGGCAACAAGCAAATAAAATATGCCGTGGTATTGGTACCCTTACACGTAAAGTTGTATTTCCATTCCTCTTAATGCAAAACACTTGTAATTATGGTAGTTTATTTACTTTTCTCTACAGGTTAAAAAGGAATAAATTCATTTTAACAAAAATATGTGAAAGTAGGAAAATATATTTTCCATGCATTTTCTCTGTTTAATACATAAAATAATACATTGCACCCAGACACCAAACTGGTTGTCACATTTATCGTCACAAGGATTATAATCAAAATATTCAACCCACTTGCGTTGGCGCCTCATGTTTATCTGCCCAATTAAAATATTTTTTGGACAGTGTTTTATTAGCTTTGGCCCAGTGTGTGCCACCAACTAGTGGGGCCTGCGGGGTCAAATGTATATGTATCCGGTAATTTTACCCAATTAAACAAAACTAAACTGTCTACTATATGCCGACGATCTTGTCATCTTATCAAGATCTAAGGTTGGTCTTCAAAACTGTTTAAATCAATTAAATGACTGGTGTAAAAATTAAGTGGATGATGCTTGTAAACATGAAAAAAACCAAAGTCATGATCTTCCAAAAACCATCAAATAAACAACCCACACCAAATTTTCAAATTGAGAACAAAGTTCTCCAAGTGACTCAAGTATTCAACTGCCTAGGACTTAGCCTCTCACCTAACGGAAAGTTTACTTTAGCATGCAGTCAAACAACTTGCTCACAAAGCCCATCGTAACATTAACAGGGTGCATGGGCAGATACTATCAGAGTTGCAAAACCTGTTCAAATCTCCTCCGGGTAAAATTTAAAGTTTTCAAAACTTCCTCAAAATAAATTAAATAGATATGGCTTCATCAAATAGCAATATACCAGGGTATATAAACTTAACTGATTCTGAAAGCATAACACACAGTACATGATTCTAATATATAAATTTGCCATAATAGATTTTATATACTTTGGACAAATTGGACAGTCCTTAATACCTACTAAGTCTACATCCTATTAGGTATCATATATTGAATATAAAATAATACAAAAAAATGATATTACTGTACTTGTTGTTTTCAAAGGCATTTGAGAGTGTTTAGGTCTTCAGAAGTGTGACCCAATCGGCGAGGCAGCGAATACTCTCACTTGTTTCCGAAGCAAAGTGCTAAATTTAAACCAAGTAGTATAGTGCCCTGCATGGCAGTTTATGGCAATGTTTGGAGTGGTTGAAAATCAATGGCAATGGCAAGATATCTCTATACCAGATGCTGCCAATCCTGCAATATACTTATGGTTATCTTATAGTTTGTGGGAATTGACAGTGTAGGTATCAGGTATGTAAATAATGATTTCGATTATAGGACCTCGATATATTCCGTCGATCTGTATTAAACATGTATGCATGACAGCTACACAACTCGGTAATTAAGCTGTACTATTTTTGTCCGACTCACGTCACACATGCTAAAATTTCTTCCTCAACTTTGTTTATAAGGCCATATTTATATAATTATTACAACGTCTAGTTGCTACAGCATTGATGGTTTATTTCATTAAATAAAAAAATAATTCCTAACATTTAATATTTCTGTGAGTTCTGAAGTGAAGTGTCATAAACCAAAATAAACTTATTACAGTACACATTTCTGTCATTTCCAACATATCTCCACGAACAAGGACTGAATCCTTGAACTAAATGCGAAGTTACTGTAAAATGCAATGAAATTTCTTTCAAGTTTCTGTTTGTTTGAACTGGCAGTTTAAAATGGCACTAAAACCCCAATATAAAATACCTTAAATTTACTGTCTTGAAATATTTTGTCGGGCGGTACATTTATATTGTATAACAAAATATAAAAATTTTAACATGGCTCTTAAAATACAGTTGGGCGGTGATGAGAATCCAGCAAGTTATTTTATGTGGCCTAAAGGCTAATTTCCACTCCGGAAAATAAGCAGTGGATCGGACCGGATCGGTGGTTTTTCCGATCCAGTTCGATCCAACAGGCGATTTCCAGTAAAAGGACAAGTGGAATGATCGGATCGGAAAAGTGAAAAAATGGAGTTCGTCCCAGTCTCACATTCTCTATTTTGTAAATTTTATACAGGTATTTAATTATTTTAATTTATATGTTTGCGATGTTACTCTGAGTGCATATCCACACCGGGCGAGCTTGAAAAATATGCCCGGCCACGGTGGGATTCGAACCTACGACCTTTGGAATACTAGCCCAATGCTCCTCCAACTGAGCTACGCGGTCAGGACGGTTCGAGTAAGTGATATTTCGGAACAGTATCTAGTTCCTTCAATACCAATGTTACTCGAACCGTCCTGACCGCGTAGCTCAGTTGGAAGAGCATTGGGCTAGTATTCCAAAGGTCGTAGGTTCGAATCCCACCGTGGCCGGGCATATTTTTCAAGCTCGCCCGGTGTGGATATGCACTCAGAGTAACATCGCAAACATATTATTCACCTGAGTACACAACACCAACACAGAAAAAATCATATTACTAGAACACATTGGTATTGAAGGAACTAGATACTGTTCCGAAATATCACTTACTCGAACCGTCCTGACCGCGTAGCTCAGTTGGAAGAGCATTGGGCTAGTATTCCAAAGGTCGTAGGTTCGAATCCCAGCGTGGCCGGGCATATTTTTCAAGCTCGCCCGGTGTGGATATGCACTCAGAGTAACATAGCAAACATATTATTCACCTGAGTACACAACACCAACACAGAAAAAAATGTTTTAATTTATGTGAGATAATACGGCATTTTGGTTGGTCGCCAGGTTTAATCCGCGGACCCGACCAAAAAAAGATGAAAATATTTCAACTTTTTATTATCCGGCCAGCAACGTCGCCGGATCAATCGGAACCAAAAATTTCTACTGATGGCGCATGCGCCGATTTTGTTTTGTTCCGATCCGGTCCGATCCACTGCTTATTTTCCGGAGTGGAAATTAGCCTTAAGGCACTTATTTGTTTTACTCTTTTGGTGTTAGCGACCATTGACAACTATAGACCTTCCTCACTGACCTCACCTATGGTAAACCTTCCTCGCGGGCAATGCCCGCGTGCCCGCAGCTTTTTTGCAACTCTGCTGATTAACCCATTGAGTGGCAGCACTCACCCCCTGACGAATAAAATCATCTGGCGTTAGATAGGGTAAAATAATAGAGTAGGCTACATCAGGGCGAATTGCCACTTATTAAAATGCATTCACATTGGATATACTGTACCCGAATGCAGTGTAACTTATAAATATGTGTTGACATTTGATGTATATCTTTTACTTTTACAATATATGATGCTAACATTGTAAAAGGTATAAAAGGTGAATTTAAGGAAAAATAAACATCAACCTGTCACACCTGTGCAGCAGCTACTGGCATCTCTACAGAAACTAAACCATCCACAATACTCCCAAGCTAGGTTTCTCACACTGCAAATTGCCAGAACCGAAATGACTAAAGTAAGAATAAAGTAAGTGTTGTTATGGAAATGGCGTCATTTTTCCTCAAAATTGCCATGTTTTTGGCGACACTTCGTTGACTGCATGAAGGAAGTATAGGAGCAGGTCCTCCAGTTATTATACAGCTCAGTGTACAAAACGCATCAATTGGAGACTAGCTGTCGAAAGCCTGATCACTGGTAACGATGGCTTGGTTCGGGTAGCGAATATAAGAACGAGCACAGGCCGCACCAACCGTCCACTAGCAAAGCTGTATCCACTCGAAGTAACAGCCACATGTGTAATACCTTCTCCTGGTGCCAAACCTACATCTGAGAACAATTTATGGACGTAAGCCCAGAGAAGCAAGGAAGAACTGCAGCATTGGAAGCAAGAAAGAGAATCAAGGACTGGACTTCCAAACTGTTAGGCGGCCCGGAAGATGTCGCGAATTACCAACAAACTGTTAAACTTTATACTGAAAACAATAATAGTCTAGTGACATCACTAGATCAGTAGTTCGCGCCTAATTTTTTTTTTTTAAATTTATTTTCCCATGTACATTACAATTATTAATACATTATTACAAATTAACTATTTGGGCTAGAGACCTACTAGAAACCTTTGCAGGCTTTTGTTTCTAGGCCACTAGTCATGTCCTATTTAGATTATTTTATTATTTACAGTAATTTTTAAGATAATATTAAATGCAGAAGAAAAGTTTTATAAGGTATATACAAGATATTTACAAATTTGAGGTATGAAGGGTAAATACTGTAGTGTTTACAATATTAAGATAAAGAGATATACTAGTTAGATTATTATATGGTATTTTTTTGCACAATGACAATGCATGGACAGACATTGTCTGCATAAAGAAAGTGTGATTTCTGAATCTATGTATTTGTAACTGGATTTAGTATAAAGTGTTGCTTAATTAGTTTCTTGAAGGTATTATAGAAATTTATGTCTTTCAGATTTGTTTCTAATTTGTTCCACACATCAACTCCTTTATTTGAAAGAGTGTGTTTTACATAATTTGTTCTCTTATAACATTTAAAAAGTTTTGATGCGTTTCTCGTATTATGTTGATGAATTTGGTTGTTTGTAACGAAGTAGTTAGTAAAGTTTTCTGGTAAATTTTTAAGATGATGATATCGAAACATAAATAAAGCATAATAATAAAATAGACGCTCTCTGACCAAAAAAATATATTTATTACAAGCTGCCTCTATTTTTTCAACAAATAAAGCAGTTAAATAATTGTTGATTTTAAAAATATCAAGTATATGTAATTCTTTGAATATAGCCTCAGTGTGTTCCAAGTACGACTTAAATGTCATTAGACGTACAATTTTTTTCTGGATATTCATTATTTTATTAATTCGGGTTTTGTATGTGCTACTCCAAATTAAATTGCCATAAATCAGATATGGATAGACTAATGCATAATAAATTAGTTTGATAGCATTTCGATTTAAGAAATGTCTAATTTTAGCTATTATTTCGGACGCTTTCAAGAGTTTTTTTGAAACATTAGTTATATGATCATTCCATATCAGACATTCATCAATGATGATACCAAGAAATGTTGTACTTTTAACTTGTTCTACATTTACATCATTCATAATAATTTGAATTTCATGTTTTGGTTTTTTGTTAGACGATCTAAATAAAATGAATTTTGTCTTTTGGATATTTAGAGATAATTTATTGACGTTTAACCATTCTGTAACTTTGTTAATTTCAGTTTGTAAGATTACATTAAGCGATTTAAGACAGCTGTTGCTATAAAATATATTAGTGTCGTCAGCAAATAATATGAATGAAAGTAATTTGCTGCACTGTTCAACATCATTTATGTAAAGCAAAAATAGAATTGGTCCAAGAATTGATCCCTGTGGAACCCCACTTCTAATCACCATTTCACTTGACCTAACTTGATCATATTTCCACTATTTGTTTTATATTTTCCAAATAATCTTTAAACCATAGTTGTGTTATTCCCCGTGCATGTATACACCATAGTGTTCCAGTTTTTGAATCAGAATCTTGTGATTAACAGTGTCAAAGGCCTTTGACAAGTCAAGAAAGATTCCTATAGTGTATTCACCTTTTATCGATTGCTTTACTAACTTTGTCAACAAGTTCAATGACTGCATGCTCGGTGGATCTATTTTCTCTAAAACCATACTGACTATGTGTTAATAATTTATTTTTTTCAATGAACTTAATCTCTTATACATTAGTTTTTCTAGTAATTTAGAAAAACAAGAGAGTACAGAAATTGGTCGATAATTTTTGAATTCATTTTTTTTATTTGCTTTGTAAATTGGGGTAACTAGAGCTATACTTTTAGGCCATTAGGAATAGTTCCACCATGGATAATAAAATAAATGGATAGGAAACTAGCTGACGTGACCTAATGTTTTCAATGGACTGATGGCGTGATTGGATGTTGAAACCTAGTTGCAAACCAAATTCTCAAAAACGGCATGTTTAGCAATAATACAGCTAAACATTTTATAGTTAAAGAGCAAATGAATATAACTACGCCATTCTACAATGAAATCTTTAAGTATTCCCAGTCAATTTTAGCGAATATTTCAAGCACTAAACAGTGAAAAATGCATCCCAAATTTCGTTAAAATTGGGGACGTCAATTTCGTAGCTACAAATGTAAAAAAATACAAAACAAAGACGAAAAACATTTACCTTGAATACTTTGTCGTGGCTTAGGCGTGTTTTTGAAACAATTATACCAGTTCATGCTTCAATATTGCTCTTTTAAAGCAGAAAGTCTAGCGAAACAACAAAAATGCCGAGAACTTTGCAATACGCGTGACGTCACAGATTGCAACTAGGTTGTTTTTGCTTACGTCAGCTAGAGTCCTATCCATTTATTTTATTATCCATGGTTCCACTAAAGAAAGTCAAGTTGAATATGTGTGACAGGGGTTCAGAAATTTCCTTAGCAATTGTCTTAATAATTTGTGAACTTATACCATCATAGCCTGGACTTTTTTTAGAATTCAAGTTTTGTATTTCAATTTCGATTTCATGTTTGGTTACTGGCTCAATAAAAAAATATTATTATTCTTATTAGTCAGATATTTGTCAAAGGTTATTTCACTGTCTGGAAGTTTGTTTGCTAGACCTGGTCCAATATTTACAAAATACTCGTTGAATTTATTTGCTATTTTTCATCTGAAGAGTGTCCGTTGAATTCCTTTGGTAAAATTCTATCGTTTCTATGTGTATTCATAATTTCATTAATTGTTTTCCATAAGCATTTTGTGTTATGCTAGTATTTTAGTAGTTGTTCTTCATAATATTTCTTTTTTGCTATTTTTATTACATGATTCAATTTATTTTTATATTTTTTGTATATAATCTCATTTTTTATTACAGGGCAATTTAGAAATTTCTTATAAAGTTTGTTCTTTTTTTGAACTGATTTTGCAATGCATTTTGTCATCCATGGACTTTTACTTTTGTCAAATTTCCTTTTTGATACTTTTTTGTTAATGGGAAATTTTTTTCATAGGCTGTAGAGAATTTATTGAAGAATTCGTTATAAGACTCTCAGTATTACTGTTGGAAATTACATCCTCCCATGATGTAGTTTTAATTGTATTACCAAATTATTTAACATTGGAATCATTCATGATCCTTTTATTAATAATTTCCATTTCTGGCTTAGTCTTATGTTGTTGATCTTTAAATTCGCGTATATGAGATACTGGTAAGTGATCAGAGATATCACAAAAAAGTATCCCATTTGTGCTCGATTCTATAGTTTCCATATCATTAGTAAACATATTGTCTATTAGTGTAGCTGTATGGTGAGTGATTCGCGTTGGTCTCAGTATAAGAGGCATATACGATGACGTGAACAGTTGTTCAAGAAACTGTTAGTACAGTCGAACCCCTATTAAGCGGACACCTTTGGGACCTCGCCCAAGTGTCCGCTTAAAAGGGGTGTCCGCTTAAAAAGGGTATGTAGAAAAACACAGCAGGAGGCAAAGGTGTGTAATTAGGTGTGTAATTTGAGTATCAAAACAGTAAAAAATATCTAGGAAATAATTAGCATAAAATGAAAAATTCTTTGTGCATAAAAGTTCATTAGAAAATGTATACGTCTCGCACAGTCATATAAAAAAGGAATGAATACAAGTTTGCTTTCGAGGCTCACGCAGACGATAGCCCATTATGATGTCATCTTTTTTGTTCAGTTCATTGTCATCATCAGTGATCTGACACATATCTTTCGGCTCCTTGGCTGCCGGCTCACAGTCCTCCGTCCTCGTTCGTCACTTCCTCAATAATCTTGACTCTGATGTCTTCGCGCCAAGTTGGTGTGTCACTGTCAATGTGCCATGTAAATTGATCTCAATTGTTATTTACTGTCGAATTAATATTGAATACATTTTATCAGACAATCTGTCATCTGTCCGCTTAAGAGAGGTTAGTTTGCCCATTGGGACCTCAAGTAAGGTGTCCGCGTCCGTTAAAGAGGGGTGTCCGCTTAATAGGGGTTATGATAATAGTATTTTATTAATGAAAACGAATGGGACCTGAGATACGTGTCCGCTTAAAAGAGGTGTCCGCTTAAGAGAGGTGTCCGCTTATAGGGGTTCGACTGTATAATCACAAGACTCTGATTTTAATAGATCAATATTGAAATCCCCCATAAGGTAGCATATTTTATTTTCTTTGTCTATTTTCCCTAGAGTGTTATTCACATTATTTTCAAACAAATCAATTTTATTATTTGGTGGTCTGTATCTTAGACCGACTATTATATTTTTCCAACAGCTGTTATTATCTCGACATTGCATTAAAGATATTTCGCTTCGTTCTACATCGATAACTCATAACCTTAACGTGTTATTCTTTTGTATAACTAAATCATTGTCATTGTTTAAACTGTGTTGTGATTTGTGTCCATCCTTTTACCGTAAGAACCTCCGCAAAGTGTGAGAGATTTGTGAGAGTCAATAAGCAATCGAGACAAGAAGACTAGAACGGCAGAGCGTGGAGTTACTGCTTAGCAATAGTTTATTGCAGTTCATGCTTCATCTCCCAGAATGTTCCAGTAAAATATAAGGCCTAGGCGTCTAGTAACTGATGTATATGCAAGAAAAAATGCATTTTCTTTGATGTATCATTTGCCTGATAATCGGCTGAATACACTGGCACGCACTTCGCACTGTCACACAACGTTCCTCGTTAAAAAACACAATATTTTGATTGTGTATATACAAATTACAGGATCGAATTTCGCAGCCAGCGAATGGCGTACCAAACCTTTTGATTAGCGATATGTTGCGTTTACAGAATGTGATGTTTGTCACTTTGTTGCTGTTGATGCTGCTGCTGTTGTTGCTGCTGTTGTTGCTGCTGTTGTTGTTGCTGCTGTTGCTGCTGTTGTTGTTGTTGTTGTTGTTGTTGTTGTTGTTGTTGTTGTTGTTGTTGTTGTTGTTGTTGTTGTTGTTGTTGTTGTTGCTGTTGTTGCTGTTGTTGTTCTTGTTGGTGTTGTTGTTGTTTTATTTTGCATCTCACTTGATTGAATGAACGTTTTAAAATGTTAAAGGTTTTTGTTGATGGATAATTCGAACCTCGAATCGCATATATTCGCCTCTATTCTAAAATATGCATAGAGATTAGAGTCAAATTAAACAGATTATATATTGCCACCGCTGATTGGCTAGAACTAGAAGAAAGAAAGTGCACTAACTAACGCAGCTAATGATTGGCTAAAGGTCACTAACTTACACGCACTCAGTAGCATAGTTGTAACCTTAAGCATGTAGGACGGCAACGCGACGACGACAGCCAAAACAAACTTCTTCAAATAAATTATTGCGAAGAAGAGTTGTTGTTGTATATTCTCCACTGCATTGAGTTCAGTTTGAAGAGATTAAAACAAAGGCATTATGGTTAAAAACGCTTCTGCTGAGCAAATTTGTACTTTCATTTGTCGCGTCTTGACATATTTGCGTTGTACATGAGACGTGAAAATCTCTGCTCTGCCGTTGTACAAAGCCCTAACACAACGTCTCTAACTCCCTGGGGCTCTTAATTATTCATTTCTTTTGTACGAGATCAGGAATATCATTGTGTGAATAGCCGTCGTCGTCGCGTTGCCATCCTGTTTGCTTAAGGTCCCTAGTATCTGCATACGCAGATATAAAAACGAATTTAAATAAATTTAAAGTAAGAATTTAAAAAACTGTCAATATCTGCTTTTGACAGACAAAGACAGATAGAGCCAAACATAGGAAAAACACCATTTTCTATGTCTCAAAATTGCAAAGAAAATTAAAAATGGCTAGTATATATGAGATACTTTGCCAAACTATATCTTAACTTGTTTCTTTCTTGAGATAATTAACAATGTTTCATACTATGACGTCAAATTGCATAATTGCTTTCTGAGAAAACGTTTATATGGCTCTTATAGATAACCGATTCCGGAAAAATTTTCGACATATAATATATATTTGTTGCATGTTGAAATAACATATATGAACAATATTATGATTTCGATGCACGACATGAAGTTTGTTCAGAAAGTCATTATGCAATATGACGTCATAGTGAGGATATTTGCATACCATAGTTTGACCAAGTATCTTATTCGTTCAATTTGAATTTCCTTTACAATGCAATTTTTGAAATTTTGTCGCAAAAGCACTTTACCTATGATTAATATCACACACTCATTTCCTTTGAAAATAAAACGGAGTAACTTTTTTAACCATGCATGGGTATAAGTAAAGTATATTAGCCACTGACAACAAATTGCTTAATTCCTTTTACCAGAGTTAAACACTATGAAGACAGATAAACAATTCGTACTGTGTATATATCATATATTTGTTGCATATAATATGTTTTCCTAGTAAGATAATGTATGAACAGTATGATGCATGTATGGCGATTTTTTGTTTGCCTGCAACTAACCTGCCCAATCGCAGGCATTCAATGTTTTATTTCTTGCACGCTGGCAACTTTTTGCATTGATCCTCCAAATTAGAAGACATATATCGACGCTGAAAAAATACAGGTATGTAGATTTTAAGCTATTAATCATAATATGACTTAAAATGAATACATATAGCCACTATATATAAAAATTAATACAATATATAGGCCTAGTTTGAGAAAGCTATCGTTGCCAGCATGCATTGATGGCTCGAAAACGTATATTGATTAATATTGTGATTGTGAAAATAGTCATCCAAGGATTGATTGATATATACTTGAAACAATCTTTATCAAATCTCTCTAAAAACTGTATAAATTCCCTAACATACAATCATCTATAACTGCATGATATTTTTTAAAATGTCGATGTACCTCATCACTGAACTATAGACCTTGTTTCAATGTCATTGCTATAAACAGTCATGTTTTGCAGAAACTCGAGCAGAAATAAAGTTGATTTCTATAAATGTTGCCGTTACGACATGATTTTGATAAATATATATTATTATATTAGCTGTGTCACAGTGCATGGGCAATAAATGATTATACGCAAATGATTGCAAACCTTCCAAAAATTCTGAGACCCATATAATTATATAATGCATGCACTTATGTACAAGCTTGTCATTATATATAGTCACGTAGATATGCTACAGATAGATGAAACTAAGACAGAGACTTTCAGTATTGTTCAAAGCCCTTTTTACCTTGGGCAGTTGGGCCTCAAAATAATTATTATCAAAGTGTATATGCAGAATTACCGCGCGTATATAATATTATATAAGTCCATATTCCATAATTACGTCTTGCATGCATTTGATATCAGTATATATAGATATTTAGTCTAATTATTTAAAAAATCCACTATTAGCCTAGTTACTACATGAGCAGGCTAGTAATTTTTAGGTGAATTAGAAAAAGTACTATATACCTTTGTATTAGGCTACTGTGACTTCAACAATTGCTGTTTTGTACAAACTTATACTTTGAAATCATGTACTCCATATAATAATTAAACATGCCAAAAGCAGTTTATTAATTCTTCATATTATGCTCTGTGAGGGAGATGGTTTGAATGATTAAATCTTTCCTTTCTTAAGGCAAACTATAAATCTAGATCTAGACTAGCAATAGAACCTCAACTTGCATGCAGGCTAACAATAAGTTGAAATCACCTTTCAGTATAACACTTTAAAATTCAAGTTGCTTTTGTTGTTATATTAATAATTATATCCACTGCAAAAATACCATGCTGAAAAGCTAGCTATAAAACTGTGAAGCCATAAAAGGTATACAGGTAATATATTTTCCAGCAAATCTTTGACATTGTATATACCTGCATACATGATGTATCAATATTCAATTAATATAACCAATCTTTGATCAATTTACAAGAGAATTGAAAACTGCATGTATGTTGGCTGTGATTAAATATCTGATCAATACCCATGCAGTATATAATAGTTATACAACATATTTCAATTCTGATTGCTTCTGTATTCTGGCCTTTAAGGCATGTCAAACATAAGTTAGTTTTGGTACTACAAATAAATTCAGTGACAATTCTCATTATATAAGTTTAAAAATACAAACATGATTGCATGATATCAATGATTGTTTCACAATTAACAACTTGGGCTACAGAAATTGCCCAGTATTTAAATCAATAATCACAATAACACTACAACTGAGCAACCTGCTGGTGAAATATATTTCCCCCTACCTATATGTAGGCCCTACAGAGGTTCACATGTATATACTGTAGTTTCTGAACAAGTTCTGCCTTCTTGAAAAGGTCAATGAGTCCATTTGTTTTCATACACATAGCATAATTCCTTCGCTACTTGTATAATTTGTAATTCCTCTGCTTACTCCGTGCTATTGCAGTATGGAAGCATTCGATTTTCCGCTCCTATAGTCCTAATTGCAGCATTATTGGGTTCAACAAACACATATATGCAACTACATGCACCAACAATACGTTTGAACTATTTTCTTGTACACATTCATATATACTTTCTTTCCAGCTTGTAACTCGTGTCCTTACTGCTTATGGAAGTAATCCTCTTGTGACGCGCCTTCATTGTTGTTATAACTTATAAAGTTTATAGGCTTATAGATTCAATCCATCCAGTGCAAACAAAAATTCGCACGCAAGCTATCAAATGTATCCATAATAAAAATCGTTGGGACTGATTTGAATGTTGTGACTTGTGTTGGACAGTCTTCCCTGACGCTACACAGCGGTTTGACAAGGATCATTCATTTTACATCGAATTCTTGCCTCGGAGTACACATAAAATGTCCGATAAAAACGTGGCTGACATCAACCTTTAATACCACAAAACATAGAACTATATAGTTATAGAACTTATAGAACAAATATAGTACAAAATTTTTTAAATGGAAGACACTTAGTACCACAAAGGGCATTTTAAAGTGTCGTATTTCCGATTTCTTGGCAGAAGCCAATCAGAGCCCGTAATCGGCGTAGGCAAGGCTAGACTTGTGCAGGGCTGATCAGCAGGCGGTCAGATACGCGTATGACATAGCCTCCTCCGCAGGAAACTGTGTAGTTCTGCAACGTTATTAACTATAAAAGATTTATTAGGAACGTAGAAAATACAAGGAAATATAGTTCTGAAATACGATATGATATTAATAAACAAGAAGCGTAAATTAAAAAGGCCTGGAGCGGAAAAATAGGGAGGCTTGTGGACAATGTAGGAAGTAATGGGATAATAGTGGGGCGAAAATAATAGTGACGCTTCTTGTTTATTAATAATATCATATCGTATTTCAGAACTATTTCCTTGTATTTTCTACGTTCCTGATAAATCTTTTATAGTTAATAACGTTGCAGAACTACACAGTTGCCTTCGGAGGAGGCCGACGTATGACATACAGTTTCATTAGAGTAGACTGCGAGCGGTCCCTCCTTTCCGCGGGTTTAGATTTCCGGGCACGAGAAAGGAACGGAGGGACTGCAGACAACACAGTCAAGAAATGAAACCGCGTTGCCCACACAACGCAAAATTCCCATTGGTCGAAATCGATACGCCTGTCAATCAAATCTGATATGTAGTAATTATGCTATAAATAATTTCCAGAGCGAATGTTGATTTTATACAGGGTGTGTCAAAATAAAGGTAATCGAACGTCAGCGCGCTATTGTATCTGAATTACTGCGTATGAACGAGATATTTTCATCTTCGGAAAGATCAGGCTTTTAGCTGTTGAATGATATGTTCTTCATGCCAAATGGATAAAAAATAAGCAAGTACGAGTCTGATAAAAAATGCTAGTCAGAATCGCATATTTTCACCGTTGTAATATGCGATTCTGACTAACATTTTTTATCGGACTCGTACTTGCTTATTTTTTCTCCATTTGGCATGAAAAACATGTCATTCAACAGCTAAAAGCCTCATCTTTTCGAATATGAAAAAAATGTTCATACGCCGAGTAATTCAGGTACAATAGCGCGCCTCTGAGCGCGCTGAAGTTCGATTACCTTTTTTATACACCCTGTAAATAAACATGACATTAACGGTTTCCTATTGGATAGATTTAATTGGATATGGTAATGTTTATGCAAAGGCGGAGCCAATTTGACAAGAGCGAAAAGTGGGCGTATTTCGTTTCTTCATGTGTTGTCGGCGGTCCCTCATTTCTTCGAGGGACTGCTCGCGGTCTACATTAGAGAGCTTCAGACGGATTAATGTTTAGAAATGACACAGAATATGGTACTCTCTTCTTTGCAGAGCCATCTTCTGTTTTATCCACTTCATTACATATATGGATTGATAGGGATACAACTAGGAGAACTTCGACCGTTCGAGCGAACGTTTTTCGTTGAGAAGTTAGTTGCGGGGGTCGGGAAAATCACACGAGCTTTTATACTAGTGAATATAAAAGCGATGATGTGGCAAAAAATAAATAAGTTAGATGGATTTAGTGGGTTTAGACAAAAAATGTAATTAACAAAAAATGTAATTAACAAAAAATTGTAATTAACAAAAAATGTAATTAACAGAATATATTCAAATTAGTACAGTATATAGAAAACTGCAACAAACACCAAAACGCAAAAATATATGAAACAAGTGCGGAATAAGGTAAGAATTTAAATACTGTCAATGTATGCTTTTGACACACGAAGACAGATAGAGCTAAATACAGGAAAAACACCATTTTTATATGACTCCAAATTGCAAAGAAGGTAGTCAAACAGGGGCACGACACGCTCGTCGGGCGGCAAAAAATACTGTAATTCAGCAAAAAAAATTACATAATTTTTTGAAAAGTAATAATTGTCGGAAAAATTTTGATCTATTTACGGAAATGTTACTGAAAAATTGTACAAATTTCGGTAAGTTAGTTAAAAAGGGTATGTCGGAGAATTTTTTCTTCCCCCGCAGCTCATAACAATTTTGGGAAAAGAAATATTAATTAGGGCTGAAATGTCCGTCGGGCACAACTTCCGCCACGCCCTTTTGGTCGGGCAAAATAAGCTCAAAGGCCCCCCCCCCCCAGCCGTAATACCCTAGTTACGGCCCTGGGTTCAAAATGGCTAGTAAAATACTTTGCCAAACTACCTTAGCTTGTTTCTTTCTTGACTCTTGAGATATTTAACAATGCTTCATACGCAAATTAGGGACTGGTCATTATTTATGGTGGGGGGTGGCACCGAAGAGAAATGTTTTTCCTGGCAAAACTTTTGCTGACCCAACCATTAAAAAGTAAAAAAATTGATTACCAAACCACAGATATCAATTAAAAAATAAATACCCACCCCTGGCCAAGACCTTTACAAAAGGATACCATTCAGTTGTTACACATGTCCTTTACCACTTCTGTGACACGAGTTTGATAACGGATTGTGCAATTTTCTGCAGTCTAAAGTGTCATGTTGTCTGCACATGTACTTTCTTTGGAGACACCATTTGTCTCCCAACAAATCGGAAAATCTGATCAAGAAAGTGACTCTGATTGATTCACATATTGTATTGACATATGACTGTTGACATTGCTTTTCAGTCTCCAATATTTTAGCGAGTCATGCTTTGGAAATGACAATAATTTTTTATTACCCAACCCTTGAGTTGTTTTGTTTTTCATTTCCCCTACCTTTTACTTACTCATAATTTAGTTTACCCAACCCTTTTCTCTTCGGTGCCACCCCCCGCCATAAATAATGATCGGTCCCTTATCCTCCCGAATTATTGACGTCAAATTGCATATAATTGCTTTCTGAGAAAACTTTTGTATTACTCTAATAGATAACTGATTTAAAATTTTCCGCATATAATATATATTTGTAGTATGTTGAAATAACACATATGTGAAGAGTTTTATGATTTTGATGCACGAAATCCCAAGATCTTGAAGTTTGTTCAGAAATTCATTATGCAATATGCATGTGACGTCATACTGAGGGCAACTTGTATGAGATAGTTTGGCCAAGTATCTATTTGGTTTGGTTTTGAAATTTTGTCGTATAAGCAATTTACAGGTAAACTACGTCAAGCGTTCCTCTTTTGAGTTTCTAAATTGATTGCAATTCTCCTCATTACCTTTGCAATTTAAAAAACTCCCTTGCAAATCCCTTGAGGGAATTTGCAATGTCGCTAAAGCCGATGAAATTTTCCTCAGTTCCTGTTAGAAGTTCTTAACTTACTGTGATACAAGTTCCTAACTTCTTGTTTTGTTCTGCGCGTTGCAATTGGCTTAACACAAATAATCCTGACCACCAATTACAACGCTCAAAACAGAACAGAAAGTTAGGAAAATTAAAATGAAGTTTTTTGCATTGGAATATTGCAACAGCCGATAGGAACATTGCAAATTCCCTCAATGGATTTGCAAAGACTTTTTCAAATTTGCAAAGCCGATAAGGAAAATTCCAAATGAGTTTAGGAAGTCAAAAGAGGAACGCTTCACGTAGTTTACCTGTAACTATGATTAATATCACACACTCATTTCCTATGAAAATAAAAAAAATAACTTTAATTTTTAAACATGGGTATAAATATATTAGCCATCGACAATAAATTGCTTATTCTTGTTACCAGAGTTAAACACAAGACAGATAAACTATTTGATACTGCATATTCATGATATATTTGTTGCCATGTTCTCGTAAGCAATGTATGACCCATCGGTTTGGTTTTGCCTGTAAATAACCAGCCCAATCGCAGGCATTCAATTTGCACTCTGCCAACTTTTTACGTCGATCTTCCAAATTAGAAGGGGAAACAAAATTCCGATAAACCAACGCTGAACAAATACAGGTTTGTACACTTTAAGCTATTAATATAATATTAATATGACTTGAAATGTATATATTTTACATATAACAATAAAATACAATATATATAGTTTGTGAGAAAGCTATCGTTCAGTATATTGCATCACTGATGGCTCGTTAACGTATTGACTATTATATGACTGTGAAAATAGTCAGCCGAGGATTGATTGATACATATACTTGAAACAATCTTTATCAAATCTCTCAAAATAAACTATATAATATATAAATTTCTTAATATATAATTAGGCCTATCTATAACTGACATTTTTTAAAAATACTCCATGTAGGGCATGCATGATTGGCTGTAGTAGACCTTGTCCAAATTTCATTGCTAACATGCTTTACAAAAACTCGAGCAGAAACTAGTCAACTGGTTGATTTCCATTAATGTTGTCATTATGACATGAATTCAATATAAATATATACATGCTAGCTGTGTCACAGTGGGCGATAAACGATTACGCAAATTATTTCAAACCTTCCAAAAATTCTGAGACCCTATAATTATAACAATGCATGGTCAATGCACTAATCTTACAAATTTGTTATCATATATATGGCACGTAGAACTGATATATATATATACACTGCAGATGAAATGGTCATGCAGCCTAAGACTGAGATTTTCACTATATTCTTTAAAGCCCTTTTTGTCTTGGGCAGTTGGGCCTCAAAATAATTATTATCAAAGTGTAAGTTTATATCAGAATTATACAAATATATATATTGTCCATATTTATTAATTACATGTTGCATATATCTGGTGCATGTGTAAACATATCAATGTATAGATATTAGTTTGAAAATACACATATAAAATCCTCTATTTACTATATGTTCAGGCTGCTATTTTTTACATGAATTAGAAAAAGTTAATCACAAGATGAATGCATGTCTTGTACAAACATATACTGTGAGATCCTGCACTCTGTATAATTATTAATTATACATGCCAAAAGCAGTTTACTAAATTCTACATTTGCTCTGTGAGGGAGAGTTTGAACTAAATCGTCCCTTTCTTAAGGCAAATTATAAATCTTGATCTAGACTAGCAATAGAACCTCAAAATTGCATGCATGCAGGCCAACAACAAGTTGAAGTCACCTTGCATATAGGCATAGCACTTTAAAATTCAATTGTTATTATATTAATTATATATCCACAAAAAGTTACCTAGAACTGTGAAGCCATGAAGGTAAATCTGTATAACATTAATGTACACTTGCATGCATTAATCAATCCTTGATCAATTTGCAAGAGAATTGAAACTGCATGCTTGTTTGTTTGTTTGTTAGGCCTATGGCTATGATTAAATATTTGATCAACAGTCAATACACAGAAATAGGCTAGCTATTGTTTAAGACATGCCAAACCGCCCAAACGTGCTACATGATACTACATGCATGCACTTCTCTACATTTGAAGAAGAGCACATTTAAGTTATAGTATTAGTAAAATACAAACTAAAAATTCATTGTTCTCATTATAATAAATTTGAAAATACAAACATGATTGTAGCTATATCAATGATTGTTTCACAATTAAATTAACAAGCTGCGCCGCTAGAGAAATTGCCCGAGTATTTAAACCTATATAACTCTAGTGAGCAATATGCTGGTGAAATATGTTTCCCCTACCTATATGTACAGTGGTTCAAATGTACTGTAATTCTGAACAAGTCTTGCCTTGTTGAAAAGGTCATTGAGTCCCATTTGTTTTCATACATAGTATGATTCCTTCGCGAAATATATAGTAATCAGTCGTAATTCCTCCCCTCAACCGTACGTACTATTGCAGTATGGAAGCATTCGATTTTCCGCCCTTATTGTCCTTTGCCGCATTATTGGGTTCAACAAACACATCAGTATATGCAACTACGCCGATAATACGTTTGAACTATTTTCTTGTATACATATATACTTTTTTCCTGAGTTTTTAACTCGTGTCCTTATTCACTTGTCAGTGTGGAAGTATCCTCTTGTGACGTGCGTTCTTCGTTGTTATAATCCATCCACAGTGCAAACAAAAATTCGCACGCAAACTATCAAATGTATCCACAATAAAAATCGTTGGCCGGGAATTTGAATGTTGTCTTCGACTGTCTACCCTGATGCTCTCAGTGTTCTCATACAGCGGTTTGACAAGGATCGTTCATTTTACATCGAATTCTTGATCGGAGTATACATATAATTTCCAACAAGAAACGTGGCTTACATTAATATCTTTAATACCACAAAACGTATAAATATATAGTTATAGAACTTATAGAACAAATAGTACAAAATTTCTTAACTTGAAGACACTTATAACCCCAAAGGGCATTTTAAAGTGTCGTATTTCCGATTTCTTGGCAAAAGCCAATCAGAGCCCGTAATCGGCGTAGGCAAGGCTAGACTTGTGCAGGGCTGTTCAACGGGCGGTCAGATACGGGTATGAAACAATGTTTTCACATTAACTGCGCGACGGATTAAATGTTTAGAATGACACAGAATATAGTGACAGTGCTCTCTCCTTTGCAGAGCCTTCTCACATACGGTACTTCGTGTATACAAAATGGGCCAAAAGAGGCAAGCACTAGTAGGCTAATCATAAACGCTTTGGAATTCATTGACACATTTCATAGTAAATCATTAGGAGATCAGTAAAATATAATTAAATTATGCTATTAACTCATGATTAAGCATTTGGAGGCCATGGTGGGAAACATGGAGTCTGTCTAAAAATTGTTTCTCCAAGCTCAACAATCTTTTTAAACAAGACTTTTCTCCGTCGTGGGCTCCGTACTCCGATTTGCATTGCATTTATATTTATTTACATTCTTGAGAAAGCCTTGCATTTATTTTTTATTTATTTAAAAATTCGCCCTATTTACATAATTAAGATAGAATATACAGTATAACGTCTGTTGAATACTAGAGCTAGGAGCCTTTAAGAAACTTTAAGAAGCTTTTAGTGCAAGGCCCCTATTACAGCAAATATTAAATTCAAACGATAGCTATTTGTCAGTTAATATATAGTACATAAAATTTTAAAGAAAGTTGTGATATAGTTTTACAATAATATAGATATACAACAAATATGAAGTTAGGAGTGCATGATGATGGAAGCATTGTTTTTACCCTACATTGTTTTAGACGTCCATGAATAATATAATATAATGCTGTATTATTATTATTCTTGTGTTTGATAATAAATTTTAGCTTGTTTTTTGAACGATTGGATGGTAAAATTGGATGGATTTTAAATCTTCGTTCAAATTATTCCAAATATCTACTCCTTTATTGGAGAGAGTATGTTTCATATAATTAGTTCGGGTGTAGGTTTTATGTAGTTTTTTGGAACTTCTAGTATTGTGATTATGAATTTCATTATTAGTTTTGAAAAAATTGTTGAAAATTTCGGGCATATTGCTCATGTTGTAAAATTGAAACATAAATAAACTGGTCAAATAATCATTTATTTTGTAAATATTTAATAGATTTAATTTTTTGAATAATGGTTCCGTGTGCTCAGAATACGGTTTGAAAGTGATTAGACGCACAATCTTCTTTTGGACACTCATCAATTTTTGCAATTTTGAAGGGTACGTGCATGAATAAATAAATAAAGCGGTCGAACTAGAAATTTGTTTTCAAACTGGGTTTATGCATTTAACACATTGACTGCGATTCCCTGTATGATATCAGCATACGAAAGGCGGGTGATTTGTTTGTACAGACAGGGTAATAAGTTAACTCTAATTAAAAGTATCAATAATCCCCGACGGTGTTATAAACATGTTCACGATGTATATAGGGATTTTGGGCATCTCACTCGATATTACTAATCACGAGATGCTCAAAATCTTGATATTTACCCATACATCGCCATTCCGAAGTTGATGAGTGGACTGGGGACGAGTGTTAAAAAGTGCCCAAATTAAGAAATGAACCAAATACTGACTAAAAAGACCATCTCAAAATTAGTAAGTATACAAAGTTTGAAGACGTTTACATGAATACCCTTCGAATAATAAGCTTTCGAAAATCGCGATATTTAAAATAATTTTTGTTTTTGGGACGCGCGTCCCAAAAACAATCTTTTAATCAGTAATTTCAGAATTTTCGAAAGCTTATTATTTGACGGGTATTCATGTAAACGTCTTCAAACTTTGTATACTTACTAATTTTGAGGTGGTCTTTTTAGTGATTTGGTTCATTTCTTAATTTGGGCACTTTTTAACACTCGTCCGCAGTCCACTCATCAACTTCGGAATGGCTAATTGACATCACCTTTGACAACTGTCTCTCTGTAGCTCAGTTGGTTAGAGCGCTGCACCAGAATCTCGAATGTCAGAGCCGCTCGTGGTTCGATTCCTGCCAGAGGGCCGATAGTTGCATTTTTCTTTCGCAACTGCTCCTGCATGGTTAGGTCTAATGAATGTATAAAAATTCCACTCCCAATTCCATCTACAAATCGCTTCAATTATAAATATAATACCATGTATTCGCTTTGAGAAATTAAATGTTAAAAAAGTAAATCAGTGCTAGATTTATCAAACAAGCCTGACTAGTTCTGGTGCTTTTTGCACATTTCCAGGAGCTATAATTTCCATTGCATGGATTGTTTTAATCTTAAACACTTACACTTTGCTTATAAAAAGTCGCAGTCTCTGTTGAAAAAAAGTTTATTATTCTGGTAATGCATAAAATATAAAATAATGCAAACTAGTGGCTGCTAGTTTTCGAATCGGTCCATACGGAAGCACATAGAATTGATCGCCATATTTGATACATCAAACAGTTTTTGAAAAGGCATATATTCGCCGCCGCCCATGCACAGCCACCGGCCCAAGCGCAAATAAACGCCTGCTACGCATGCACGGCTAACATTGACGTGATCTCGTGTACATAAAATTGCGTCATTTTCCCGAGCGCAATGGCGCATATCGAATGTCACGCGAACAAACTTGTATTTAAAAGGTCCTGAAAGGAAAGTCACATTTCATTGGCCTTTTATCTTCTAACTGTACAAACATATTGAAAAACAAAATAGGTAAGTTGGTAAAGCAAGGAAGGGCGAAAGATCCACTGAACTTCAGGTAAACTACGTGTTTTCTATTTCACGTTATATGCAATATCGTTTTCAACGACAATACAGTTGGTTGGTAAGGATTTGCTAGTTTGTAGAGTTCGCTTAGATTTTTCATTGTAAGAAATAGGAGGGCAGTAGTTTCTCCCCATTGTATAACCGTTTTTGTTTGATAGGTTGTTGGGTACATTGTAATCAGTCAATTCACAACATGCCTGCCACGTATTGTGACAATCACATATACTTGATCATACTTCATTGTTTTGACTTGTATATATGGCCGCATGTATATATAGGTCTCATATATTGCAACTGTTTTGAAGTATAGTAAAACAGTAGCAACTGCAGTAGCAACCTGCCATGGAGAGCAATTTCTGAATTTGTTAATTAATTCTACTTCAAAACTTGCTTAGAGCGGCAAATTCCTTCGGTACTCAGAAACATGATCTTGGCGACCCTCTGGAAAGAAGAAAAAAAGTATCATATTCAATAAATTGGGACAAACAATTTATTTATCGTTCATCAGATTGTCCTGCTGTGCAAGTTCCGTATAGAAATGTGAATACATTTCGAAAGTAAGATTCTAATTGAAGGGCGGCATGCATATATATGTCATATTTGGTTAAACAATCCGGAAACGTATACGATTATGATTCGTTTACAAATGATTGTTGTGTACATGTTCGCCACAGGGTTACATGCGGTTACAAAATTTCATGTACGATAGATGTACTTTAAACAAGAATGTATACAAACTCATTCAGACAAAATTATATAAACACCAAAGGTCAAAGAGTTCGGCTCTATCCCGGCGAGTTATTAGTGCTATCAAAACCACATTATATCCTATTATCGAGGTTATTAATATTTTATGGTTGAAAATCATTTTAATTCAGTGCTACCAATGTCACAATGTGCGCCAGTCAAAGTGCACATATACCATTCCTTCAAACCCGATTCATTCTCAGTAGAAATAATATCTGATTCACCTATGAATGCCTTGGAATGTCCGCTTTTAAAAACTGAGCGCTACACTGAATCAAGAGTAAGCCATGCATGTTCAAAATATATCTGCATAAGTAACTGTCAAGGAATTATAAGAAAAGTTAAAGTATGATAACGTCGGCTTCAATTGCCTCACTTATGTAGTTATGTATCATCTTTATAATGTCATCACACAAGACCCCCATAATGAATTTGTCACATATAGTCATAGAAAATTTGATATAAGACGTGGACCACCTAGCTAATTCGCACTTTGATTAGTACCGTGATGATTGGCTCCAAAGATAATAATGGTATAGCATATTATTATAGTGCGTGTATGTTGAAAACTGGAACTGGCAACAATTTAAATTACCACCGATTCGTTTTATACGAGAGAGATATTAAAATCAGATATTGTGAAGAATGGACCATAGGTCATATTAATTTTGAGAAAGTTTCAGTTGATGGAAACAGCTATACTATAGGGTTTTACCACAATTGGTGGTATGGATCATGTTAGCTTATACTGCATGAATACATTAAAACTCGATGTTTGTATAACCATGAATGCATGGAAATGTTCATAGGCTGGTTAGCTAAGTACAGCCAATGGCAATACCGCAATAGCCCTCAGAGGTAGTTCTGCATGAAATCAGCTTGAAATACTCACAGCGGACAAACTATAGAAATCTGTTCAGTGACTATATGTGGTCTAATCACTATTAATGTATGAAGATCTTCCAAAATATCAGGAACTGACCCATCTCTATCCTGCATGACTCTGCTATATGGAATCATTCTAACAAATTCTAGCTATGTATAGCCGTAGTACATTAAATTTTTAATTTATTTTAAATGTAATGCTTTATTAACACTAAAATTTATATTAGGATTAAAGTGGTATATACATGCACTGACATGTAAGTAAGTCGGATCTTTGAACACACTAACTACATATAAATGTGCAGCAATTAACAAAACTATTTTGATAAATCTTTTATACAGTTTGTTGAACAAGCTTGGGCAAGAACACAGTAATTAAACTCCTTGAAAGAGAGCAGTTAGTTTTACTAAGCAAGATAGCATCGTATACCATGATTAAGCACATTTTTATAGCCTTTGTTAATCTCGACTACAAAGGCATCAATTTAACTATACCTCCTACATTATTATATAGTCACCATCGGAAGACACATATTTTATAATTGTTACCATTGTGTCATTTTAATCAGTCGATATTTGACTTGTCATTCTTTGACAGCTGACCACGTTCGCGGCTTCTAGAATCACTTACGGTGGAGACACCAATACTGCATAAATATGCAAATTATATGAAGTGAATAATCGTAACATTTTTATGAAATTAAAGCACTAAGACGTTAACTAGTTTCGACAAGGTGCATTATTTCCGGCATAACTCAATCTTATATGAATCCAGTATGCATGGTTTACGTGTCAGTGACGCGTTTAAATTTTACTCTATTCATACGACTCTCTTTCAGCTTTCCTCTCACGATTGAGCTCATGAGTCACGCTTTCATTTCTCTGCTGCATCATAAACTTCTGGTATCCTCACTTTGCTGATTATTACCTCAAACAAATCGCATTCTAAAAGCCTTTAGTATATAGCCTTTAAATACTGACCTGATTTACATACTATAGCTATAGTGGATTTCCGTTCAAATTAATATTGGTGCCGCCATCTTTAGTGACTCTAGAAGGCGAAAAATTGGTTATTTCAGTCGAATATATATCGATGGACTGTAACAATGGAATAGTTATTTTGTCTTCTAAAAAGACTGAAACATCTATCAGAGCAAACGTTGTAATTCAAAATATATAGTGGAAACATTTTTAGGGACACCCTATAGAAACATCAGGTATTTATTGGTTTGTATATATACTGTAATATACTTTTATTATTGAAATGCCATTAAGAAGCCATGAGGCCGTTAATCCTTATAAAGGCTCAAAACATTCAAAGGGATATTAATATTACTACAAAAGCACATGCAGACACAGTTGTCAGACGATATACAGTAGAATTGTCATTAAAGTCATTGTGACAGTGTTATATACACATTACAGCTATCAGAGGCTAGTCAGCTAACTCTAACAAAGCGCATTCTTCTGAGGATTTATTGCTATACACGCTATAGCTGTGTTTAAACTTGCATGAAGAGAGGACCTTTGTGAAAGAAATACTGTACAATTTTCATAATATCGAATAATATAAATTTGCAAATAACTTAACAGTGATTCAAGACCTAGCTGCTTGTATAAAAATTTCGTTGGAATTGAATCTTATTTAATAAACATCGCAACATGATGTTAATATAGTCTCACTATAGAGTCGTGCGCAAACCGTTGGGAGTCTAATTGTATTCCATAATAAAATTCGAGAATCAGTGATCGTTTGTATAATCTGATTAAGAAACCATCATGATAAGAGAGATTCCGAACATAGATTATATATTATCGTTATTAACTTCGAATCGACGGAAATTTAATTAGGCCATTGTGCTTTAGAAATTCTCGCCAATCAGAAACGGCGTTATCTCGAACGAGATTAGACACGTCTTCTGAGTAATGGTATTTTCTCGATAATCTTCCAGGTCCAATCAGTTGAGAGAGCAAAGGTGACAGAGCAGGAGCAGCTTCGATAGCTTTGAGGAACTAGCAAGGTATGCACTATATTAATAATTTATCTGTATAATACTTAATTATTTCTTTAGGAGTATAACTTGAAAATCGAGTCAAAACCAATACATGCATGTAGCAACTCAGTTTATATCAATACCTTGATGGCAAAATGTTAATGGACTGTAACAGTATATAGCTGTAAAAGAGATTCGTATTAGTATTGATCCTATACTGAAATTTGTAAAATTTGATCCTATACTGAAAATGTAAAAAACATAACAGTTAAGGCAAAAGCCTGGAATCACCGGTATCAGTCAATCAAAACCTTGAATCAAGGTATTGCTGCATACTCGGTCAACATGAAGGGACTAATTTAGTTTGGTTTTCAATATCTATAGTCGCGAAGCAACTTACTGTGTTTAATTAATAACAAAATACAACATTAACTGATGACCTGCCTACAAGATAGGCCCTATAGCCAATGTTTAGGAAGTAGATAACACACTATATAGCCCGCCTACATATAGTTATACAAACCTGTATATATACAGTATATTTATATAGTTATACAGAGGTGTATTATGTGGTAATATAGTTACAATATATCTTAACTATATTCTATAACCACGTACGAACCTGAAAGATGTCTAAACATAGTCAATGCATGGATAGCGCATCTATTCATTCAGGCAAAAATTCTACATGTACGAGTCTCGTCTATTGCTTCCGTCTGCGATATTCCCACTCATCATGTGAAGCTGAAGGTATAATTATGTTCGACCCAAGCTTTTTATCGGTATTATGTTATGTAAAGCAGACACATTTGTCCTTGAACTTATATATGTCATAATATGGGAAAATTATTCAGACTATAAGCTTGGTTGACGCAACACATAATTAAAACTCTTTCATTTTCGTTTTGATGGAATGTGGCCAAATTGTCTGCTCGCGGTTTCCCCGATATTTATTGTTATACAACGAAAGTGTGGCTATACAGTATAGGCACGCGAGAAATATCAATATCCCGCATGCAGAATTGAAACGAAGCTTTATTAGAGTGGCCAGGGTCTTCATATGGTCATTATACTCAACATTGTAGTATATTATTTAGGTGCGCCGACGAAAACAAAGAACGGCTAAAATAAAAAACCTAAGCACATTTTTTAGATTCCTTGCAACCATGTGGCAGCTCTCACAAAATACATAAATCTATAGTCTACGCTGCTAACACTCGACTGTTAATTTTATTTAATACTAAAGAAATACAAGTTCCCATGGGCTTTCCACGGGTATACATTATAATACTTGAAAAAAATACCTTAGCCGGTGTATCTGCCGATCCATTGATTGTGTCTAACACTAAAGCAGCACTTGAGATAGAACTGTATGATTATACTCTTGTATATCCGGACAATTCAGACAATTTCATCTATGAGACTATAATTACTCCTTAAAATGTAATTAGTTTGGAACCAAGCTCTTCTTTAAAAATTTATTTCAAAGTAAGTCTGACGAAATAGAATCTTACTGCTTACAGCTTGCCTTGACATTACGTCATTAGTAAAGTTATACGTACATAAATAACATATATATAATGGATTGTTGATAACAATATTCCTAATTGTACCATCCTTTTTATACCTTTCCTATACGTGGAAAGCACACCAGATACAAACAAAATATGTAGAAATTGGACACGCATATATAGCTGTCTGAATTAATTAATGCAAAGAAAAGTATTCAAAATATTGAAAATTCACACAAACATTTTTCAAGAAATGAGAAATCTTAAACAATATACATTTATTATGTAGCGAAGAATATAGAAGCAATTTACGAGTCGCTTCAACTTTTCAGCAGAAATAACAGGTTTCATCTTAAAATATTATTTCAAAAACAAACAGTTCAGGAAGTCATGGAACGCGATATATTTACATTGTTTTGCATAATTGCATGGTAGCAATGAATGTGTATTCAATTTCTATGTTCTGGAAATAACGTTAGCACGTGCTATATTGTTTATTTAATCTTATTTGGAAACGGTAACTCTTCAGATCTAATAACATCTGATTTCCAAGGGCCCGTTAACGTTAACGTCAACGTTAACGTTTACGAATGCTATGCATATGTATAGTATAGTGATGTATAGTGCCGATTTAGCATTGTCATTGAGAAAGAGAAATTGGTTGCTGTATTGAATCGTAGACCTGGTCAATATATATATATATAATAATAATAGGTATATATCCCCAAATCACTACACCTGTGAGGGAATTCAGGGAATTCATTTATGTCATTTAGCAATTCTGGCTTCATTATAACCATGATGATTTCTTGGTGTGATCTGCCATTATATCGGACTAAATAAGTTACCTGGCAACTTTCATTTTCTGTTTCTGGGTTAACTGAAACAAATACTCCAACGCACTACTGGAGGCCCTCAATACTATATACATTGGAAATCGCGAAGATCGCAAAAGTTATAGTTTCACCCCAGACCTCCATACTCTCTGGGCGACCCTGACTGCATGTATACTTAATTAATTCGATTTGTTTAAAAATTACTTTATATCTGCATGTTTTGGAAAATGTATTTTCATTTCACTTTCTCAACCACTCCAATGCAAAGTTTTACAAAAGCTGCTCCATATACACGTTTGAAATAAGTGATATTGGGTTTAGTTCGCTGAACACTAGACTCATGTCGTGAGCGGCTGCATGTAGATGTACCTGACATGCACCGCCACGTAAACAACAATTAAATTTTGTTTCATCTTACTGTTTGAAAGCAGCAGGTAATTGATCGTGCCAGATCAACATGACGTACACCCACATCAATCCAACATAACATAGATATTTTACAACAATAATGTATCTATGGGTGTAAAACATTACTTTATGATGCTATAGCCTCGTTAATTATGGGAGGATGCAGCCTCTTCCACAAGCGCTCATATTCCTCCAATCTTGCGGTATCAGTCGTCATGCATGCACCTTTCAGATACGTCATAGCTAAACACCATAACCTATACACCATAAATTGTCAGCACTTTATCTTGAACACGAATAAAAAGCTTTTAAAGCAGTTTTTGACCGCGCTAAAGCCGTTTTATTTGAGCACTAGTACTATACCACTATAGTGTAAACGTTGACCCTGAAGAAAAGCTCAAATTAATTTATAGAATTAAGGACTAATGAATTTTCATGGTTGCAACATGTTGCTAAGGGGAAATGCAACTGACTAATCACATACCATTTTGCCGAAAGCTCTATTGTGATTGGCCAAAACGATCCCAAGCTAATTATTAAAATTTATTACTGCATAGGTAATTTGAAAAAATAATGACCAATTTGAAAAGATTCCACAGGTCCGTGCAGGAAGTTGTGTGCGACGTTCTCAAGGTGCAGAAGCTCGGGCCTCTGGAGGAGCCAGGGCCGGTAGATTGATTTCCAGCAGCCTGTAGGGGCGTCAAACAATTTAGGAATTAACACGCAAATTTATACATTTCTCGAACGGTCTGCGAACGCACAAAACGACGTTCTGCTTATATGTTTCAGGTAGTGCATTTCCTATAAAGATTGATTTTTATAATATAGAAGTTTCAAGTTTCAATCTCATTTTCTGAGATCGAGATTTAAAGCCTAGTCATTACCACAGTTGTTTCGTAATAAAAATATTAAAAGTTAATTAGTTAAACTAAATACTAAAATACAGTCTCGTTTCCATGTATGGCGTGTCTTTCCGGCATATACAACTTCAAATTATTCAAGAGCGAATAAATCCAGGTGTATTCAGGTTGCAAAAGCGTAATACTGATTTACTGTTGTTGTAGGGGCGGGTAAGCGTCGGCAAACCTCCAAATGACTGTCATAGTCAACAACGATGATTCCAGGAAGGGTAGCAGTCGGAAAACGTGGGCTTTAGGTCGTCTTATAAGTTTTAGCAATCGTTGATGGTTGCGCAGAGAGTAAGAAATCTAGTTAAGTTTGTTCAAATGAACATCCTAAATAATAATGTGGATTCTGAGCATAAAATATGCAGTTGACTATTTAGTCCGACTCTAAATAAAGGCCAGTGTTTGAAGTGGCTCATTCCAGTTAACACCTTCGTTCACCATACTTACCCGTTTGGATGGTGAGGTGTTAGCCCGGGTGACCGAGGGGTGGCCTGGAACGACTACTGGTACTACTGTTACTTGGACTCGGGTTAAGATCCATGCCAGTGGTATCTTGAGCAGACCACCCCCGCAGGGCTAACACCTTCACACCAATTAACAATTGGTGGAAATATAAAAGAACAGGAGAGAAAAAAAAATCTTTGTTCCTAATACGTTTACTACGCTTCCAACGCACAATGATTACTAATACCACCAATGCGCGGCCAATCTCTTATTACATACTCGCCCGGCCCCCTTTTGGTCACATGATGTGCCGACGTAACGAGGCTTGGTTCCCTAGCTGTTAACCTTTGTTATTGCATAACCTCATTAAACACTCAACGGTATTTAAATTAACAAAGATTAATCAAGGGTGCAGCGAATGTGCTATCCACTGACAACAGCACAAACCCAACTCCCTTGGTTGGGAAAACTGTGGACTGCTCTATACATTTGGAACTCCATACGCATGTGAATTAGCTGCCGCATTATGAACTATACCTGCATATATCGATCGAATTACGGAGCAATTCGATAAATCTCGATATATACCAAGCAATGTATCATTCGTCGGCGCTGTCACCGCAACGATGCAATTTTTAGTTTTTCATCATTTGACTCGGTATGGCTCTTTCAGACTCATGAAAATATACTAATTTAACCTTAACAGCTCCGAGAAAATTAATTTGATACTATGTGGGAGAACAATTTGTCTATAAAATTACATTGTTTTAGTTATCAACAACGCGTTGGTAATACTTTGCCCAAGGATGCCGACCAAAAACCAAGCATCGATACTGTCAAGATATTTTATTGCTGCGATAAATCTGCTTTGGTTTCCAAGGACACCTGCTTGAGCAATATCATATAGGTCGATGTTTCTAATAATTAAATCACAGCAGGATTTTGATACGCAAGAGTGTTAATATGGTAAATTCATTTAGGCTATTGCTTATTTAATACCATTCTACTGCATGCATGTATACAGCAAGAGTATATACTGATCAATGTCTGGCTGAAGGAAATAACCAGCTGATCACACAGTTACATACGTATCACTGATTATACTAATAGAATTTACCAGTTTTAAATCTGGCCAACTAGACGTACGTGTACGTGAAACGAACGGAAAATCTTTCAACAAGAATTGAAGAATTGGCCAATTATATTCCAGGCTGGTGTTGATTGTCGTCAGAAGTGCGTCTTCTCTTACAATGCGTATGTACATTATTATGGTACATTGTTTATATGGACATCACAATACGAGAATAATAGTAGATGAGCTTTTTGTAGATGGAATATTCGGACGCAAATTTATACACACATTAAACCTAACCTGCAGGAGCGAGAGCATGCAGTTGTGATGCAACTATAGCCGTATGATAGGCCCTCTGCGGGCTAACCAACTGAGCTACAGAGTCCAGTTGCTATAAAGCATTAATCACAAATGTATGTATTATATATATCAGGTTCGATTCCTACCAGAGGACCTATATAGTTCCATTTTTCGGAACTGCTCTTGGTTATGTCTAATAATATATCATATATGACACTGAATACGTATACCAGAAATTTGCGTTCGAATATTCCATCCACTATTTGTTCTGTCGAATTAACGAGATTCCTAAAAAATCTTGATATTTACCACAAAATGAAAGGATACTGCGTGTGCATTATAAAGTAGTATATAGGCTACATATGTCGTTGAATATATATCTATATAAATTACGCCTGAAACGTTTCACCCATTTTTATCGAACAAGAATGATTTTACGCCGTAAAAGTGTACTTTTCCCCTCTATTTAATAAGTTAATTGGACTCGTACCCATGAGGAATCGACCAAAGGACTTACGACTTCATATACGTAATAGGTATAAAAAGAACATTATATAATTATACGCATTCGGTCTTGCTGTATAGGCAACACTACAATGGAGATAAATTATTTACAATTGGAAGGGTTTTATTCCACATAATGCAGCGCTTTGCCTAACGAAGGTCTATTCTGTTTTCTATAGCAAAACTGGTTAAGTCTGTCTAATGTTTGATGTAAGGTTCTATTAATATAAGCGACCGTACAACGGTTGAATACTGTTCCAAACAAATAATTAGAGACAAGAAATTATCAATATGTTTCTATAAACATTCTATCAATGCATGTTCATATAAACCTTTTACACGGCAATATATTTTCCAATTAATTGTGGGAATTACATTTTAGAGATGAAATTTTAATAGTATTAGTTGATTAGGTAATATTTCCGTTTCAACTTTGCACCATTGCATTTCCCCCACCCATTTCCGTTGTTGGCCATTTTCTATTCTGTTATTGCCGAAAGATTAATATAACCGGTATCAAATATTATCATGATAGAAATTGAGGCCAATCTCTATTACGGGAAACATTATATATATATTCAACTCCGTAGGCCTACTTGGTGCGTAGAGGCAGGCATGCACAAAAATAGACCTATAATGAGCATCGGCGAGAAGGGTCTCAAGACAATTGATATCGAAACTATACGAAAGAAAAAAATAGGTTTCTACAGACAATAACATCAGAGATACCGTGAAAAAGTTGAAATTTAAGCGGTGACAACAAAGTTGTCTTAATTGGGTAACAATTATAGACTACAAGACGTTAGATAGATTGCTTTCTACATTAACGACGTTTAAGATATAAAGTATTAAATGTAAAGTTCGTCTTTACGCACGAGGTAAATGGAGAAGAGTAAAACGTCCTTTACGTCCAACGTTTGCAGACTGAAAGTCCCCCCCCCCCACCCCCAACCAGTCAACCTAGTTTGCCGGTTACAGCACTATACGTTCATGCGTGCAGTGATAGGAAAACATCTTGAAGGATCTTAAATTAAGCAGGAGAACGTAATATGTCATCCAGTTTTATATATACTCATGACCTGACTACAGGGATCGAAGGGCCTAAAACAGTTTATTGAGAGAACAGACAGTGGCGTAGCCAAGGTGGGGCGAGGGGGGCGACCGCCCCCCCAATCGAAAAAATTATCTGAAAAAGGCTAAATCCGTAGAGAAATTGGGGTGGTGGTGGGGGGGGGGGGGGGGGGGGGGTTACACGTTACATAATCGAAGCTGAAACTGATTAAGTATGTCTCGACTGAGGAAAACGACGATATACTGGAGGAACTTGATTTGTAAAATCTCGTTAAAGCAGTTGTAGATATGGTTCCAAGAAGAATAGATTTAGCGGTCTTTTGTGCATTTATTCGTCCAGTTTTGGAATACGCCTCACCTGTATGGCATTTTTCTCTCCCTCAATTCCTCGCTGATCAAATCGAGAGTATACAAAAACGTGCATTGAAAATCGCTTTCCCCCAGTCCTCCTATACTACCTCACTAAGAAACACTGGCCTTCTTACACTTTACCAGCGAAGAGAGAATCAGTGCTTGTCATTCTATAAGAATATCCATCAACACTCAGACGATAAGTTGAGAACGCTACTTCCCAGTGCTATATCTCACAAATTCAGTCTAAGAAATAAACGCACTTATCCTATGTATATGCAAAACTGAACGATATAAGAACAGTTTTATCCCAAAGTGTGTTAGAAACTGGGACCGACCATAGACATAACAAAATATTTTATAGCACATATCATTAATATAGTTTATATTATAGTAGTTTTAAATTGAACTTTTTGCAAATTTAAAAATTTTAATACTATCTATGTAATATCACGTTTTTTAAATTTTTATTAATTTACAATGTGGTAATTATTAAAATCAATCAATCAATCAACTCTTTGATAGTTTGCTTAAATTAACTTAAGTTTGGTGTTCGACAATTTTTGAAGAAATGTTCACCTGTCTAAAACAATAATTCTGTTTTGTTTTAAATTTTAATTGTTAGAAAACTTCATTTTAAGTACTATTTAAAACATGAGCAGCAGTGTTTTGTCAAATATACGTTTTTCCGCGGTGTAACACCGTTGGGTAGGAATAAACGGGTGGTCCGCTTAGTATGATCCGTAGAGAAGTAGCTCTTACCATGAGCCCTAGACCTCATTTCAAGCTATTTCGTATTGTATTAATGCGAAAACTAATAAATTAAATACCATAATTTAACCTTCCTCTGCCATGTTGCCTCTTTATTCCTTAGTTTTTTATTTCATTACCTTATAGAGTATATAGCTTTTAATTTGATCGACGACAACAGGTTTTTCACACTGGCTTTACTAATTTTCAAACTGATGACAGTAAAACAAAGAAGAACCCGTGCAAAAGAGTTTCATTAAAAATTAATGATACAAAATTGTTAGATAGAGCATATCAACAGCCATGATCTGACGGGAAAAAGATTGAAACGGTAAAAAAGATCACAGGGCGGTCACATTATCTATCGAAGACTAGAGGTTTCAGTTTGTGTTGGTGATCGCAAAGAACAATTACAATTAAAATATTTCGTCCAAAGTCTTTATTTACCTAATAAGAAGAGTTGCAAGCTGTTTAAAATATCATCGAAGTGCATCTTGGTAATGTCAATTATCATCTTCCAAATGCAATCCCAGCAGATTTTGGCTGGAAAACACGATCATAATGTCAAAGATGCCAGTCACCGAAAACGTATACATGTCAGTCAAACTTTTACCTTAAATATTTTTAACAATACATCAGAGTCTCACATTTATAACACCAAGATGTATTTGAGATTTTCTTCTTCTCATCCTCCTAGTAATATCTCCTTCGCAGGCGTTTAATTCTTTAAGTTTAGCTAGCTCGCGTCTCAAATTTCAATTTCCACCAACCCGCAATTTCTAGCCCAGACTTAGCATCGACCGAAACAAACCTCGATTATTCGCTTCAAAATAAATGCATTCATTTCTTACAAAAGAAGAATGTTAAGGTATAGAACACTCAAGACTATGATAATAATCATAGAAAGGCAAAATTCGGCCAAAATACCTCCGCTGCAGCGCGTTCCATACAAAGTGCTAAGTAAAAACTGGAAGTCCACCAACAACTCAAGCCAACTCAAACATGATTGAATAAACATTTTCATTGTACATAAGGAACGCGGAGATATTTTCAGGGTCTCTTTTAAGAATTCATCCATGGTGATGCAGGTAGGTGGTGAAGACGGATAGTGCGAATGTGCGAGACGGGTCCTTCCGCCTAAAGAGATTTTTGAAAGTGATGAAGATGATCTCAGAGATTCAGGCAAGCTATTCCATAATGAAGCTCCACTATAACTAAAGGAGCGCTTAATTTAAGATAATCCGTTCTAGGTTTAGGGAGAAACAGTTTGCCTTCAGAATCTCTGAGTCTATTGTGACTGACTCTAGTTACAAACAAATCTTGTAGATGCATAGCTGTTAAATTGCTCGTGACTTTATACATGAGTATTGCTTTCCGCATTTTACGGTTAGTATACAAATTATTCCATCCAAGTTCTTCAAGTACAGAGCTGGATGAAGCATCATAGGAAGAACGTGTTATAACACGAGCAACTCTATTTTGAAGTTTTTGCAATTTATCACTCAATTTACTACCAATGCCATCCCAAACAGGAGCGCAGTGGGAAAAATATGGCTCAATTAGTCCCTGATACACTCTAGCTGCTGTATCTTGACTGATATAGCTTCCTATTCGCTTTAAAGCGCTAATTGCGCCCGAGACTTTTTTTGATATTTCATCAATATGCGTTTTCCAGGTCAAGTTTTCATCAATTTTAAGTCCTAAAGATTTAGAGCTATTGACTCTTTCAATTTGATAATTGCCTACAAAAACATTAATTTCATGGTCATCAAATGTTGCAACATTATGTTGCAAGCCTTTGACGAGAACCGATAACCATGAACTCAGTTTTAGCAACATTTAAACTTAACTTGTTAACATTAAGCCATTCTTTAAGTTTTCCAAGTTCGATATTCATAAGATCTTCAAGCTCATCAAATTTATTACTTTGAAAGCTTATGTTGGTATCATCGGCATACATTCTAGGTAACCGCTTATTCAGCCAGGTCATTGATATAGACTAGAGGAACCCCGTAAGTTATGGGACAACTGTCGGAAAAGTTCCCATTGACAAAACACTTTTGTTTCCGATTTGTTAAATATGAGTGAAACCATGTCAAAGCGCGCATTATCTCTCATTATTAGCTCATTTACGAGCTTTCAAGTTTGCTTCGGATCTTTCTTGGCCACATCCATTCTGTCTTTAAAATAGTCGCATTTAGCCAATTTAATAATATTATTTACATCATTACGTGCATTTTTGTACTGTTTCCAAAGCTCGTTGTTTCGATTCGTATCATATTGCTTCTTCAAATAATCCCTAGCTCTCATTTTTTGAACAACATCGGGGGTTATCGATGGTGACTTCTTTTTACCTATTCGTTTCTTTTTAAAAGGTGCGTGCTTATCTATAATTTGTGTAAAGTTAGTTAGCCACATGCATGGACCACATTAATTGGGATCGTCGGACGAGCTATATAATTTCATTCCAATCAATTTCATTTAAGTCATTCAAATATTCATTGTCATTGAATAGATCAATTTACGGACAAAATATATAAGCGAATGATCACTTATACCAAGTGACAGGACACCTGAAACTTTTATCTTGTCTGGAGTATTTGTGATGCAAAGATCAAGTAAGGATTGCGAAGCACTAGTCACTCTTGTTGGTTCGGTTATGTGTTGTGTGAGATTGTAAATGTCAAAAATGTCTAATAATTCAAGAGTATTTGCATTAGGCATTTGAGAAAGCAAATCACAATTCAAATTTCCGAGTAAATACAATTCAGAATTTTCAGCATCAATTTTGTCAATAATCTCCTGGAATAGACGAAATAAGTGTAGTGCAGAGCAAGGAGGTCTATACCAAGTACCTACCAGAAACGGCCTTGAACGAGGGTTGGAAATCTGAACGAATATCATTTCAAGATCTTTGTTTGCTAAATCATCACGAATTTTAAAGTTAAGATTACTTTTTACATATAAACACACTCCACCGACAACATCATAACCCGGGATGCTTATTTCATTATTCGTGAAAGAGGAGTCAAGTTTAGTTTCGTTAATTGCTAGTACATCAATATTAGATCATAAACTATGTATAAAAATACGTAGTTGATCTATATGTGCAATAAGACTGAAATATTTAGACATGCAATAGACAGCCCACGACTGCAATTCAGGTATGGATTTGCATGGCATTAGAATTAAGCATTGTAGGGTGAGCAGCTATACCGTACTAACCGACTCCCTATCGGCAAATTCCTAACTTGACTTGATATAACGTGATATATTTTTAGCTAATTGAGCTGTCCCCTTACGGTTGAGATGTAGGCCTCTTGAGTTGAGACAAGTAGCGTTAATCAATTTATGGTCAATAAATTTCCACTTACTCTTACAGCAAATAGCGTTATAATTAACTTCTTTGTTTCGTTAACTTTAGCTGATAGTATGACTATTATACAGGGTGTATAAAAAAAAAGGAGACCTTTAGAAATCAAGCATATTGTTAAAATTTGAATGCGTTTTCAATAGCAAATATGCTGAACCGTGGTGCGTGAAATATTGAAGGGGTGCATATATTAGAAAAAGAAGACCTTTAGAAATCAACCATTGTTATAATTTGAATCCTGGAGCACTTTGCTAAGCCCACGAGTGCGTAACATGCGATCTACGTACAGTATGCATAGCAGATTGTTCCCAGGAGCAGACAATATTTTGTTTAAACGTTATTTCAATTTCTAAAGGTCCTTTTTCTAATATATGGACCCATCAATATTTCACGCACTACGGTTTAGCATTTGTGCAATTGAAAAGGCATTCAAATTTTAATAATATGCTTGATTTCTAAAGGTCTCCTTTTTTTTTATACACCCTGTGCAGGGTGTATAAAAAAAAAGCAACCTCGGAATTTCCCAAGAAATCGACATGGTTTTAAAGACAAAAGATTTTTTAGGCGCCTGGGAATTTAAAATAGCACAACTGTCAAAATTATTGCACACGCGAGTGCATAAAGCAAAATTTATGCATTTATTTAATGCACAACAACAGTAATATGATCTATTA